GGTTACAAGTCAAGAAGGTAGGAGAAGCTCCTCCCACAAGCGTGATGCGCCCGTTTCAAATTTCTCCGCAGTCGAAAGAAGAGTTCGCTGGAAACGCTCCTTGTTCCGCTTCAATGGATTCCAACTTGTCTCCGATCCCACTTTTTAAGAAAGCGACCTTTGTATTCATCGGGGAGGGAACCGAGCCCCTGAAAGCAGCCTTTGTATCCATCGGGGGGGGGGAAGGGAAGGAAGCTAATCCCCGAAAATCGTATTTGTTTCCGTCGGTGGGGGAAAACTCTAATCTCCCTCTCGTGGCTTCCACAATGCTAAGTCGAAGTCGAAAGATAAAGCAAATATGTACAGAAAGGCAAGACCCTCCTCGCGCGTTGGCCGCGACGTCACGGAAACGATGGGACGCTATTGGACGCGGAGGTGGCGGAAGGATATAGGATTCCCTTTGAGGGGCATTCGCCGCTACCTTCTTAACCTGCAACCGACTATAGAGTACTTCACGAAAGACGAGCTACAGAGTTCGCGCCAAGGTCCCAACCAGAAGGACCTGATCTCTGTCATGTACGACGGGGAGAAAACGTTCGTGCCAAAGCGCTTCCTGACACGCTCAATCCGAGAGGCCTTTCGTGTATACAAAGACAAGCATCCTGATTCCGGCGTTGAGCTAACGAAACTTTATTCCTTGCGGCGCAAGGAATAACTTGCGCCCTAGATGGGTAAAATGTATTCCACACCAGGAAGTGTGCGTTTGTGTGCGCTGCGCCAATTATTATATTTGTATCGCCGCTGTAGAGAACGTTACAGGTTCAACATTCAAAACTGGTGAAATGAACTCAGTTTCTGTGCGACCCGCTAACAGGTCTGTAACTTTAAAGAGGTACGGAAACAAAAATTGAAATATTCAAACTTAGTTCGGGAATGAGTCAAGCATGACGTATAATAACCGTAAATGATAATCGCACGTTTGTATTTTGAACGACTTGATATATTTTTCGTTCCAAACGGTACGCTCGAGCAAGCACTCGAAGAGAAGCGAACGGACAGCCCGATGCGTCATGGGATATTCGGCGCAAAGAAAAACAGGAAGAAAAGATTTCCCGCGTTCGTGGAGTAGCAAGGCAGGCGTGGTTACGAGCTTTGCCCTTGGTGGCGTTGTCAGCGTTGTAGTGGTGTCAATAGCGTCAGCACGTTACAACCGAGCCGTTCGAAGTACCCGTGGGGTGACGAGCGTGTGGCTGGCCTAAGGAGCACGTAGCTTCCACAACACTGTCAGCTTAGGGCTGAATGGGGTGGGGAAAGAAACTTTTGTTCGAGTTTTGAGCGACGGGCTAATCTTCTAGGGAGAGAATGGCTGTGTCCGGTTGCACGAACGAGGGTCCGAAAAAGAGGGGAGTCCTTCCTTTCCGTTTTCTTGGACCGTTTGGTACAATGCGCGACTTGTGAGTTGAGGAGGAAAGCTAAGAGGGAAAATGTTGAAATGCCAAAGAGCGGCGCTGCTCCGAACGAATCTGCTACGTCACGGCTACGTAGCAGATTCCACAACGTTGCTAGACTACTTTCCAAATAGGCTCCGCATGCATCCACCAGGTGCACATTGAAAGATCGTTTATTTAGCTTTAAAATTAGTTTTCTTGTGCCTTTCAACGGAAGACTGGTGTTTTTGAGGTTACGGTGCAACATGCAACACATTCAAGCTAGAAAATGAGAGCTGGAATTTAGTTTCCCTACCACTGTGATCACTGCCCAAAAGGCCAGTCTCCTACACTCGAGGAACTTCATATCCCAGAGGATGAAAAGATTGTGCTTACAACATAAAAATCCAACAACCTTGTAAAAAAAAAATAAAAAAATAAAAACGAAAGAAAAACAGTGTATTTTGAGACTTTCCTAAAATTCGCTCAAGTAACGGTTGAAAGCTGGATATTTTACAACGATATCCGACAAACGCAAGACCAACGTTACTAGAACACTCAGTTGGGAAACTCGTCGTCGAAACCTGGGCCGCTGGCGTCCACCGAGACCGAGCCAAATACGACAACAGCGCCACTCTTTGTCATTTGCTTGGTCATGTCTGTACTGTGGTCACCTTGAGCTTTTAGAAAGCACGTTTTCGCGAAAAAACAAACGGAAAAGACTTTTTTTGTATGAAATTTGTTGGAGTTTAGTACAAAATGAAGGGCGCGTGATGTTTTTATAATCTTTAGTTTGCAAGGTTTTGCGGAACAATTAATATTGTTTTTATACAACCATGCCTCAGCGGTAGCGCGTCCCGACCTAGGTGCATTTTAACTTCGATAGAAATTCGCGGCGTGTCCGCTGGGGAGACGGGGGTGGCACCCCTGTAACCTCTCCCGATGTATCTGTTTCGGCACCAAAATGGCCGATTAAAGCCAAAATAGAAGTAACATGCAGTTCCTCGAATGGCCGCTGCGGGAGAAATGGCGGCATTGTGTTCGCCATTAGCTCGCTTGTGGTGGACAGATTGGGGCCACTTTTTCAGGGCAATCTCTATGGCAGTTTCCCAACTGAGTGGTTCTAGTAACGTTGCGCAAGACTAAGCGATCTACGATGAAAAGCAGCTGCATGGCTGAAAACTGGACCATCGTGCTTCCTGACCAAGTTGAAGCATACCACTGAAGAAAAAAAAGTTGCGATATTTACATGTGTAGTGACGACAAGAAACAGCGTTGCTATCAGGATGCGAATTTTCACGCGTCCTTATCACCGGAGAAAAGTGATTACGGTTAGCAATCCTGAACGCTCGCAACGTCCGTCCGCAACCGGCGACGCCGTTAAAGGGGTACTCCACCGGTTTTTTCATTGTCTCCGATTTGCTTGAAATTTTGCTAAACTAACCAACAAACATTGCTAAAATAGTATCCCAAATATTAGGTGAAAATATTGTTTTTTCGCGAAGTTATTGAATTTACAGTTTTGGTCTTCACCATGTTTTTCAAACTGAAAGTCTCTACTGGCAACAACAACAAAGTGCCGTCAGTGGAAGGCAGGGGTTAACTTTTTGGACTACAGAAGTTGTTCCCAACAGATTTGAAGCGGTTTCTTGGTGTAAAATGAGTGCTTTGGAAGCTCGCTCCCGTATCCGCGCTCCAGCACGGAACAAATGATTGGCATATTCTATTTTTAGACTACTTGCTCGACTGGCAAGAATGCCTGCCACTGACGTCACGGCACTGAAAAGTGCGCGAATATTTGGATATTGGTTTTTGCACCATTTTCATTTGCCGATTTCACAATACCTATTATGAATTTCGCGATGCTGAATAGCATACCGGAAAGGCTAAAGGCCGGGGAGTCAGAAAATATAGTTAGTTGAGGTAGCTCAAAAAATCGGTGGAGTACCCCTTTAAAAGGCTGCGCGAGGCAAAAGTCGCTCATTTCTTTCAAAATGTTTGACACACTTGAGAGAGAAGTGTACTAGTCTGGTTAAAAAAAGACTTTCCCCAAACTAAGCTTTATTTTTCATCTAACATAAAATAAATTCTTTTACAAAGGTAAGTTGTCTGATGGCATGCATTTTGGCCTGAAAAATTGATGTTTTGGTTATAGCGCGGTACCGCTTATAGCGCGGATTTTCGCGACTCCCCCGACATACGTTATACGCGGTCTACTCTGTACTTACAACACATCCAAATTACAAAATATTTGCAGTTAATTAAACTGCAAAACAGTTAAAAAATTTTTAAATTAAACAATTTTTTTAGTTCACTATTTCTAATTTGGTTTCGTTTTTAATTGCGAGTTAATGCACGACGAAGTTGCTGAAAACCATCTGAAGACTTTTCCAAATCCCATAAACACACCATCTTGAAAACGTCCTCAGTACAACTTTGGCGGGACGAACATGTTCCGACCAGTTGAGGACGTCCTTGGGTCGTCTTTGGTAGGTCGAAGACGTGTCGACCAGTTGAGGACGTCCTCAGGACTATGCGTGTTGTCTGGGTTAGGGCATTGTGATTTAAGGGATTGGAAGCCAGCATATTCGAAGTATGACTAATCAGCTTCCACGCACGTCACAACCCTGTTGTTTTTGCAAGAAAATGTTTCCAAGTTGCCTAGTTTAGGGAAGCAAGAGAGGAGAGGGGGAAAGGGGAGCAAGGGCTTGGGCAAACACGCATCAGTGAGTCACACACTAGCCTTTAGCGGCGTCAAGACCTGCTTACACCAAATAAACGAATTCGCTAATAAGCATCCCCTTTTCTATCAATTCTCCGGACAGAGGCTCTTCTTTTTCTAAACCGAGCTTCGATAAAATGTGGATGAAATGGCGTTTGACCAACTGTAGCAAACCCATAAAAGAGTGCACCAGTTGTCGGAGGAATTAGGGATCGGGGTAGGGGGGTGGAGATCAAACATATCAAACAAGAGTGGGACAGTGGCCACATTACGTCGAGAGAATAAAGGAGTGACAACCGTAGCGAATCCCGATACCTGGTGTGTCACGGGTTTCCCCGACGTGAACCCTGACAATCTATATGCACGGCATGGCAGTTCCTAGAACTGAACATGCTTGAGCACGCAGTCAGTCACTGGCTTAACGTGTGGCGGAATTGGCAGCACAAGCGGCTGCCACGTGGAGATACGGCGATCAAATCCTGTTGGCCCGGTCCTTTACCAGTCGTTCTTCCGGAAAGTTGCAGTTAATTAATTCTCTACCGTTATCGTTTGTTCTCGTTCAGAACATGTGTGAACATAGCTCGCGCACAAAGAGTGGCAGCGCGCTGCTTGTGGTTAGTCGCTCTTTTGTTGTCATCACAGAACAAACAGTTTTGTTTTGCTTAGTTGCACACACAAGTTTGCTGTATTAAACATTTGTTTTACGTTTCCACATGACTCTACACTTCCATGTGAGAATAGATCTCAATGGGTGAACTTGCAGCAGTGAGGTGGCACTACTTGTAGTAACTTGGGAGAAATTTCGGAGGCAAGTACTTCTCAAAGGTCAGAGTTGCCCCACTCTCCCTTGATGATTGAGGAAGACAACACGGTGATGAGAGACAAGTTTAATATCAACGACATAATGCAGAGGTTGGAAAGCCACATCCACCTGCACAAGTACAAAGAAGCGTGGAATATACTATAAAACTTTGACTACAAAAGCACTGAGAGGCACTTGTAGAAAAATGTGACATGCGCCCCATATACAAAATTGTTGGTGAACGAGGCCTTAAATTAACCACACACTCGCATCATTGCATACTTTGGAGCACACAATAAAGCTATCTCTTCCTATGCACATCACAGGCCATCTGCGTGAGGAAATCTTGCATAATTACTATGACAATAGCCTATACACTTCTGCCGCTAGATAAAAGGCATACCCGGTTATCCACAAAAATACTACTACCTAGAATACCTTAACAAGATCTGTAACAAACTACACAATTTCAATTGTAAATAACAACAACATGAAACTAGGTAAAAACTATACCAGACCAAAAACACAACAATGCCAAGATATGGTACAACCCTAATCCACCATTTTCCGAATTCCTGGTTTGAGTTTTTCGGCATAAAATTCCGTACAGGCGAGCATAAATATTCCTTCGAGCAACCAAGCTAGATCCCGTAGGCACCAGTGAGCTAGGGAGACCTAGATTCAGCTCCCAAAGCATCACTTTTGAGCCCATTGTGGCTTATCTTTTATCCCCCAAATTGGTACAAAGAAGTTTCTTCGCCCTTCCTTACTAATGGCACCCTCCTCGAGTTTCCTACTGAGGGATCCTCGAACCAGGTGTCTGACAGGAGGCACCAACTTTTTGGAAAGTGATGGATTACGCTGAGCCAGAACACTTTCTAGTCTTAAACACAATCCGCCCTTTCTCAGATTCAGACAGGCTTTTCGCGCTGCTGTCATAGCACCCATTAAATAAGTCATAGGCCACATCACAGATTAGTTTGAAAAGCAAACTATTTTCCACTGCAGCTCAGTGAAGTCGCAACTCTCTAGAATTATATAAAAGAAATCTGAAATGTACAGAAATGTACACATGCCTTTACTTTGTACAGCGAAAAATTAAGTATGGCAGAATGCATCAAGGAGCCACTGGAAACACTCTAGCTCTGTCATGGGTGACTGCTTGGCAGTGGCTGCCGGGAAGAGCAATCTGCTTAACCGAAAGATTTGTGTGCGCAAAGAGTTCCCAGTTTATTGTTCAAATTGACGACTTTAGGCCTGCAGTATGGCAAACGTGACACAGCACAAAAGAAAAGGTGAACTAATGCTGAAATTAACTCAGGTTCCCCTCATGTTGAGTCAATGGAACTTTGCCTCATAAAAATCCTTCTCGGATTTTCATGATACAAACAACTAGAAATGTCCCGTTCGCTCGGTTGCCGGTGAAAGAATAGATACCCACATTTTGTCAGGAGGGAATGCTCGAAGGGTACGGTAAAAAATTGGCAACAACTCTTCTAAAATTGAAGTCCTATAATGCGTGAAATGCAATATTTAATGGAGATTGCTTTAATTGTTTGGTGGACATTAAACAGTTAATCCGGGAGCAAAGACCCTATATTTTTTATAAATTTTGGGGAAGCTGAATTGGTGTGTCACGTGATCAGGGTGGGGGGAGGGGAAAAGGAAGACACTGGGAAAGGTTGTGAAAAGGTAAGTAGCGAGGAGGCCCAGTTTATTAGTTATAACAGTGGTTCTCAAATGGGGGTCCGTGAAGGCATTCTAGGGTATGTAAAGCCCTGCCTCATCAGTCAAGCACGGCAATACAAGTTTTGTTTTTTCCGATTATAAAGAAAGATTTTAATCTTCAGGCGAGTTTCCTCGTGTGTATGTCAATGAGAAAAGTCTACTTCACACTAACCCTCAGTTATATTCGTTTATTAAATCATTATAATTAACCTATACTTTTTTTCCCTTCCCCTCACCACGAACGGGTCTTCCATTATCTCCGCCGATTCACAGGGTGTCCACGAAACATCAATGGGGTAGAACCACTGAGCTAGAGAAAGAAAGAAAGAACAAGAAGACAAGAAGGAGCAAAGCACTGCCAGTCACCTGCCTGTGCGACTCAATTCAGCCAAGCTAGGGCTTTGGGAATTTAATCTCGTTTTGGCAACAGTAAGATGACGACACATTTTTACGTGATATGGCAATCTAAATTCTTTCGACGACTTCGCAACTGTTACAAGTTCGGTGACTATAATGCCCTTCTTTTTGAAATCCAGGGAACATCTAAGGCAACCTTCTGGCATGAACAGTGATGGGGTGGCCGGTGTTGACCAATGACGACATGCTCCATGGCGATGCTCGTGTTAAGGCACCATTCCGTTTGACTGATACGTTCAAAAGCACGGCCATCTGTTCTCAATCCGTTTGTGTACCCAAGCTAAGGTTTGCACCACCGTTTGAGTCATTTTTATTTGACCGAGCCGGTCGTTGCTTCCCGGCAACCACTACACTGAATGTCTCTTGTACCTCTGTTGGACGAGGGAAAACCAGGCAAAGTGCCCGTCGTCGATAAAGGCAAACACGCCCAAGTGCAGTGTGTCGGTGGCAAGCAGTTACCGTTCACAGAGCAAAATTACTACTGGTCCGCCAAGAAGAAAAGTACTGCTTGCAGATTCTGGGAAATTGAATGAAAGACAAGGGCATTATATCCGCAAGAGTGGTTCCACTCCTAGCCAGCATCCCACATGCTGCAGAATACAGTAAGCACCCTGAGTACCAAGATAGAAAAGCTTGGGATTGGTCTGCTTCAGGAGAACATGGGATGCGGGCAAGGAAAAGGATTACAGGCAGAGAGAAACAATGCAGCTTTAGCGATGCTGAAGGAGGCAGTGGAGCCAAAAAGTCATGAAATAATTAAAAATTATAATTAAACTTTTTACAGCTTGCGTTCATTTCGATGGTAGAATTGAACTCGGCCTTGCACGATCAACCGTTCAAAAGCTTCTAATGTTTTTATCAGGATACAGATTTTCACGTATGCTTGTCTTGTGTTACAGATGGTTGTGCCCACCTCTGGACGTCTCTTCCGAACAGAAAGCTAGAGGTGTAAACGGGGGGGGGGGGGGGGGGGGGGGGGTGTGAACATGCGCCGCTTGCACATGCGATCACTGACACCTCGTGGTACAACATTTCAGCGAACGTCAAACTAAAGGTTCATAATATAGGTTATGAGTCTTTTTTTTTTGTGGATTGTTTTGTAATGATTCAATACAAATTAGCCCACTTTTCAACACTTCCGTTGATTCCTAATGCACATTTTAAAAGCAAGACCGGTAAAGTGAGCAAAGCTACGATGCAGCAAAACTGAGTGGTAGGACGGGCAACTTGAGCAGCTGTTTGGCTGCAGTAAGGCAAAAAAAAAAAGCAATAACAATCACAATGTGCAGTGTCTAGTAAACAAGCCTGCCGCACTCGCTTGCAAACAATAACATCTGTCGTTAGGTCACATGCCTTCATATTTTGACCAAAAACAAAAATAATTGTCTGGGCAAAAATATAAAACCTCTTAAAATATATAAAACTTTTTTTTGGACACTGTCATACAGTCAAACACCTTTAAGATAAACATACCTTCTACGAAAATGGCCGCTTAAAAAAGAAAAAACAGGTTTGGGCGCATTCCTCATTGTTTCAATGGGTTACCACAACAATATAAGGAACTCCTGTCAATGAAAAGCTCCCATACTATGGCAGTCTGACAGTAATGGAACTAGTTCAAAGCCCATGCTAGCACACAGGGTTGCAATTAACCGGTCAAGTGCTGGCCGGTTTTCTCATAACCGCTAAAAGAAGGAGACACCTAACGGGCCAAGGAATCACTAAGAGCAGCTCTTCCACGTCCCCTGAAGTCAGTGTTCGACACATGGTGCAAGGTGTAGGAAGAGCTGTGGAATGAACTGTTCCTACTTTACACAGGTAATGCACCACTTCAAAAGCAGTGCCTGACCAGGCACCGACAGGGACCGTGTCGACTGAAACAACTATCTCTCTCGCCGATGCGTTCTACGCTGAACCGGTGCAGCACCAAGCGTGAAGGCATGTGAACCAACACGTCGCAAAAAGGCTCGACTCTATAGAGATTATTTCAGGATCGTCCACATAAAATTAGATAAAAATCATGCTGCACAATTTGAGCAGGTCATGGCTATACCTGTTGCTAAAAGGCGATCCAAAGTTTCCTGACCAAAAAGTAAACATCCATACAATGAGGTCCGATTCATGTAAAAGTATAGCGGAAAGACCACGACGCAGAGCTGCACCTTCAAGCGTGCCTGCCAATAAAAGCAACCTTTTGCGCGGCAAAATAAACTAGGGTGTGCGTCGCCGAGAATTCGAAAACTCCGTCCAAATGTCGCGCGAGCGACTGGGGCAAGGTGTGACAGTTTCCGAACCTCCACGTCTAATCCCTGCAATAAACCGCTAGACGCGAATGAATGCTGCATTAAAACGATCCGGCATAGAACAAACAAATGCCGCATTAAAACGATGCAGCATTTGTTTTTGCGCATATTCCCTTTTTAATCTTTGGAAATGTTTGAACTATTTCTAAACCCTGGACAGCATTTCAAGCTCACCGAATCCACCTACCAGTACGGCGCATGTAACATGTTTTCAACTGTTGTGTTTAGCATCCCGTCGCACCCGCGCGTTGAAGATGTTTCCAAAAGGGCGACAAACTGCGTCGTCGAACCTCCGCCACTGCGCCACGGCCAGGATTGCGTCTGTGACGGCGCGACAATTTTACGACGACGTCGGGGGGAAATGGAGGGACCACATTCGGGGGTGCGGTAAACACAACGGTCAGAGAACGCTCCGGGCACCATACTACCAACAACGTCTAGAAGCCGACACCGTGCAGATCTTTCAAACCTCTCCAGGAAACTCGGGGGCCCAGGGTCCGGCTGCGAGCCAGCCAAGTGCCCGGTGGAGATCCCGGAGGCTCATGCGGTTCCCGCCGCGCCGTGGGCGGGGAGGGGGCCGCTCAGAGGATGCTGGCCTGCAGAGACTTCGTGACCTGGTGCAGCAGCACGGACTGGCCAGAGGGTAGCTTGCTGAACAGGTCCTCGGTCACCAGCCTCCACAACAGGTGGCTCTGTCGGGAGAGCGCAGACTCAGCAACACGCGTGCAGGTGGCATGAGGCGGCACTGCACGAAGCAGTGCGGCAAGGGGAGTGGGAATAAGCGTGTGTGCACAAAGCACAGTGACGTGCAAGCGTCGTCTGCTAGGTCCTTTTGCTGACTGCCCACATCCCCTGTGGCGGATAGCTCTGCCAAAAGATGAGGAGCAGGGACAGCGTGATGTCGGCAGAACGGCCCGGCAGACGATGCTCGTGTACAAACATGCTTTGTGTGCACGCGCTCATTCCTGCCCGTAATGCCGCGCGCCGCTCCATGGTGCGATGCTGACTCGCCTGCTGGTCGACGTTCCCGCAATATTATTAAAAGCTCTCCATTTTTGTACATCCACTGTAACTGGGTCAGTGGCTCTTTAGATGCAGTGGCCCGACGGTGGTGGATCAGAAGGTTAATCCACCGTTGTCGGCTCAGCGGGAGAAAACACATTCGGCAAGAACGGTGTAAGCTGGACATCAATCCAAGGAGTGGCCTCTGCAGCATCCATGAACAACCTCCTCCATCAAGAAGGCTACAGTCAAGGGGACCGGCTGGTAGCAACAAAAAGCACCGAACCCCATTGATTTCGGTTCTTCTTTGTTGACGGGTGCAAAACTGCAGACACTTTTCACAATCTGGTCATCAGCACCTCTGTGTGTAATGGTGGCTACATGTCCTAAAGCCAAAACTTCGCAGTGTAAATCCAAAAGCTTAAAAAACAAGGCCAAAGAAGGCACAACATACTTGTATCAGGAAAGTCAATTGAGAACCATGCCTTTGTATATAACATGTTGAAGAAAAACATCTTTTGCAATACTTAAACACTTTCTTTACAGTAAGTTTTTAATGATTTTAAATAGAACTGTAAAATTAATTTTTTCAATACTACTATACAGGCTGTTTCTTTGCTTAATTAACAGAGTGCAATGTTAACTTTTTCCGAAAGTTCTGTGAAAACATTGTTTTCAGCTGCACAGTTTGTACCAAAAAAAAGTGAAGGTTAAGAATAAAACAAGATCTGTGGATTAACAGAAAAATTATTCAACTGCACCAAAGACACCATAGAGTTTGTAAACGACCAAAAGATCACAACCTTATCATTCAATAGACCCTTTCCTAAATTCAGTGCCATCTGGTGGTTCGCATAGCAGTTTATGTTTTGCCATATCAATGGCGGAAATGAAATTTTTTCGGCATCGTCACTTTCGCAAGTCAACGGCACGCGAAGAATTGCTCAGTGTGAGTTCTTTCTCGATCACTTTCAGTTCAATAGTGACCAAGAACCTGCAATCAGAACTAGCTCCAACCCACACCGATGCCTCGAGAACATTCTATACACCAAAGGGCTTTAAAGCCGATTGTGTGCTGTCCACATATTGACTGAATCTGAGTTATTAGAAATGAATGCGTAGCTCTTGTATTCCATTCCTATGTTGCGTCATACAAACCTCCCAAATGTACAGGCCTCGCATCATCCGCTTAGGAGCATCTTCAACGTCTTCCTTTATCAGCAAGGATGTTGTTTATCAGTCACTAGAAGGCCGCCATTGATATGGCACTGATGCCGTTCTACAGATGATGATATTGATCAAAGTGGCCAGACTGAATTTCGGAAAGGGTCTATTGAACTATGATCTTAAGAAAAAAATTAAAGAAACAAAACATAGATTCTTCAATGCGACAATGTCCTCCTTTTTCAAACCCTCTCCTGAGAAGTTTCGGTACTTCATGTCACCATCAAAACCAAAAGTAAATTAATGAAATATTCACAATGAGATTTTGGACGATGCTTATTATATTTCTGATATACTTTCAACAAATAGTTTACGTCAGTTTTTAGCTTAGACGATGGACGCTGTTCAGTTTCTGTGGCAGTCCGGGAATGCAATGAAATCGCTGAATATAACTATCTCAGAGGAAGGTATTGTGAATTACCTTTTGAGTATTGACGTTAAACACGCAGTTGGGCCGGATAACATTCCCAGTGCTTTATTAAAAAGATATGCGGAATGGAGTGCTAAGTACTTTATTCCACACTGCCCCTTCAAAGTGGAAAATAGCAAAAGTAATTCCAATTTTAAAAGCAGGTCATTCAAGGGAGGTTTCCAATTATAGACCTATTTCTTTGCTTAGTATATGTAGCAAAATTTTGGAAGAGGTAGTGATTAAACACGTATCATCACATCTTGAGCAGAATAATTTTTTTACAAATTCAGAATATGGTTTTTGCCAAAAAAATGGCACGTCTTCTGAGAAAACACAGACTGGTCAATCATGTTGTGAAGCTACCCAAGTCTGAGCTGAAAGAAGAGGAAAAGCTTTGAAATAAGCCAAAGAAAAAACACGCAAGAGGGAAATGTCTCAAACTCAAGGCTCAGTTTGCTGGTTTTTTTAATAGCTAGAGCAGTGGCTCTCACGTGGGGTTCTACAGAGCCACTGGGGTCCGCAAAGTTATTTTTGAGGTCTGGGAAGCCCTCACCTCAACCCTCAAACCTTTACAGTTATAGGCAGAAGAAGAAGAAGAAGAAAAACCAAAATAAAAATAAAAAAAAGCAATTTGTTTTATAAAAAAAAAAAAGGGGGGGCAGATTTTTTTTTTTTTTTGTTACTCTGGCTAGGTGGTGCTGGCTACTACATGATGTTAAGAGTACAGCCGTTACCATCTATCCACCCATTCATCCTTTTATACCCGATGGTTCTTACTAGTCCTGTGTATAACAGTAAAGGAGGCCATTTTCACACTGCAATTAGCTGTCTTGTTTTATACCCCCCTCCTCCCGCTGGCATGGGGTCCCCCATCACTTTGGCCGATCCCCAAAGGATCCCCGACACATACATGCTTGAGAACCACTGAGCTAGAGATTGAGTATATTTACATCTTCTGAGGAAATACTTTATCTAGACCCTGAAAACTTCGAAATTATAATGAAAAAAAAGTTTGCCATGTTTCGCTCGTTTTGAAATTCCCGTCCCCCTTAATTAATATAAAGTCCCTGGAAATAAAAAAAAATTAAATAAAAAATGATTTTAATTGGGCAAGCAAGGTACCCAAGATCAAAGTGCACTTGCTAGGCGTTATTTGCAGGCATGTCGTTAGGGCATTCAGTTCTGTCTTTTGGGATAGGACAGTAAACACACGAGTTCTCTCCTTCATCTCAAGGTCTTGTCAATATCATTAAAAGGGAAAGCTGGCATTGAACCTAAACTTCCTTATTTTCAGAGCTATCTGTACGAAACTTTCAAGGTACATTTATAGCACATATATACGAGTACCTGCTATGTTTCGTAAGGCTGTGCCCATGGGTTCTTAAAGAAATACTACAACGACGTTTCGGCGCTTATTTTTTGGTCTATATGTGTTCAAAGGAGCAGTATCACATCGAACACACCAATACCTTGTTGAAAAAGACATGAAAAGGAATTTTAAGACAAATTAAACGTTTAGCAAAGAGCGCCTGGTGGATGTCGCTAAAGCCTCGTTTGTAATGCCCGTCTAGGAACCTTGACAGGTAGTGATGATAACTGCCTTGCCTAGAACTATACATGCTTTGAACCTGACGTTATCCCAACAGCTCTACGGCCAGCATAAGAGAAGAGGGGAGGGAGGAACTACCCACTCAACGGGACTCTCTTTTGTGCGTCCCAGACATCGCTATTCTCCCTCTACAAGATTACAGAAAATTAACCTGTCACTCAAAATTAATACAAAAGCAGCTCTGTGGTTAGTTGGGGTGGCCTGATTGCTGGTGTGCTTTGACCGCTTCGGTGGCTGGAATGGCTAGGAAATCCTGACGACGTCAGCCACACTGCAGCTTTGCTCATATTGAGGCAAACTACATCACGGTTGCACAGGACGTGATGTGCTCTGCTTTGGCTGCTCTTCGAACACTTGCCAGAGTGCGCCATTTATAAAAAAAAAAAACAGCAATCAGGCTCAAAATACAAACGTGTGATAGTCATTTACGGATATTGCGGATCAGATTCAGCCTATTTCTGAACATGAACACACGAAATGCATTCTAAGCATTCCTGAATAGGCACCCCAAAGCATGACAGAGCCCTAAATTTATTTTCAGAAAACTTTTTGCGCAACATTGAATTTTATATTGCTGGTCATATCCTCACCCATCAAATTTAATTTGAGTGTTATAAATTTTTAGCACAATTTTCTAAAAAAAAAATAAGCCTGACATGCCCTCACAAAGTTATTTAGGAACAAAATTAAAAAGCTGAATGCCAATTAATTAAACATTTGATTTTGTAAGGTAGGTCATGCATGTTAGCGTTTTCTTTTCGTAAGTGGGTAAGGAGAAAAATATATTTTCAGGGTTGGCTCGTCAACACTTCCGAGGTTTTGCAGTCACTGAGCGTCTGATCATGTCCGAGGTATTCGGGTCACTTTGCTGAAGCAATGCCATGATTTGTACGTCTGTCGAAGCTCTGAGTATCACTGAACGAGAACAAAAACAGATATTTCCTACCAAAGCAATTAAATTATTTTGCCAGCCAGTGAACAGAAGTGAGCTTAAACGAGTGTGGTATTTTATTCGACAGATGGCAGCACCTATATACTCCATCAAAAATTGCCACATCTTTCGTCGTGCGCTCCCTCCGTTCGAAAGAGTTGTCATGCGTCTTAGGTGCACCCCCCGTTTCAGGGGTCAAAGAGGCTCTAAACCACTTTCTGCGATAGTCTATGTTCGGTCATAACATGATCTATGGGCTCTAAGCATCCTAAAAAAAAAAAAAAAAAAAAAAAAAACATTACATTTATGCGTTGCCAATCTCTCTATTAAAATCGGTATCAAAAGATTGACACCAAATGGCACCATTGGACGAGGAAAAGCAGAACCCTGCTCTTCCTCATGTGATGGCATCCTCTGGTGTCTGCAATATTTCCAAGATAATTTACCTATTGATACTGATTTTAATAGAGAAATCGGCCTTGCATAAACGTAAAGTTTCGTTACTAGGATGCTTACAGTCCATAGAGTTATGACCATAAATAGACTATCACAGAAAGTTGTTTAGTGCCCGTTAAGTCGAGAAACAAGACAAAAACAAAAGATTATTTTTATTCCAGGCCACTTGGCTCTTCCCTATCCTTTACAAGGAATTTTTTGAGCCTATATCAGCCATTGCACAATGCCTTATCTTTCTTTGTTCTCTTTGTTCAGCATGTTTGACATTTCTTTACAAATTAGAAGGGGGTGGCTTCTCTGTCGAAATAAATACTTCTTAAAAGTTCACTCTGCTTTCTTACACTTCCGTACCCTTTCCTGCATTTTTTTTCCATGCTCAGTTAATAATCTGTGCTAACTAAGATAAGTAGACCGACTTGACAAAACATAAAAAAACGAATTCCTTAAATGTTCTGCCTACCATGAGGGAGGCATCATCAATAAGTGCGTAGCAGATCCGAGGGTCTACCTCAACACAGGGCTATTTATTCGGAATGCCTATTTCAGCTTCGAGGAAAGAGCCGTGGCTTTTGCTACAAGCCGACGCATCACTGCGGACCAACCAAACTTCCAACAGCCTCTGCATTTCACAGTATTTATCAATCGCACTGTCTTTTGCCGCAAGTGATTGGGCTCTCGTGTTGTTTGTGGCATCTTACAGCAACGGCTGTTATAAGAACTTCCCTGCTGCATTCATAGCGCCGGTGTCGTGCCAGGCAGGAAACTCGGTTTCGCGCGCGCTCACGAGTGCATCGCCCCATGACACCAGGCAAAGCACACGCACTTGGCTCGTGCCAGGCGGCAGTGTGTTCTACAGTTGGCGAGGGCCAGATCTATACACATCTCGCCAAAGAACTCAACTTGCGTGTACTATCAGATGTTAAAGCCACCCACCACTTGTAACAGTACCTGCCCCGATTTAGGCTGGGACGTTGGCTCATGTTTTGTTCCCTTTCCTGCACAATACTTCAATGACCACGAGGCCGTGTTGTGTGATTGAGTAAATGAGTGGATACGCATAGACGTGTGCACTACTACACGCAACCACAGCTGTCGCTGTCTTCACACTGTGGCGAAAAGCTGCGGATTTCTCTGGTGAGTGTGCTCACCTGCAGCCGGTCCTGTAGGTTCTCCCTGGCAGAGAAGTGGACGTTCCAGAGCTCGATCTCTCGCCACGAGTGGTCCGTGTTCATGGGGTCATCCATGTAACCGTGCTGGGACACCTCGCAGCGCACGGGGGCCGGCTGGGGCCCCTCCGCCTCCCCGACGGGGCTCTCCGGCCCCTCGGCCAGGCAACAGTTCTGGAACAGCTGCTCCCCACCACCCCCAAACGACTTTGTTATGACGTCGAGGCATCAAAAACCAACCGCAAATCTAAGCGAATACTGTCTTTAATGCACAATGAGTTTTGGAGACTGGCGTCTACACTTAGAGCATCCCAAAAAGTTGTAACAAAAAAGTTGGTAACATGGCCAGGCTTCTTTGCAAAAATCTCTTGTCCCTTGACGGGAATTGAGCCGACGACCTCTTGCTCATTAGTTCGATGCTTTACCACTGCGCTACCAGAGTGGCTTATATTATTCATGCTGGTACGTACTGTAGAACTCTTTATTTTCGTGGCCCTATTTTTCGTGAATCAGTCACAAAAAACATAATCGCGGCCACTAAATTTTGCGAATTCCAGATGCCTGCATTGAAACTTTTTAAGGGGCAATGAATGTAATTTCGGATATTTTCTGGTGATTGAACTGGGTTCCAGTCACGTCTCGGGCCACATTGCCCAAATTTCCGCCAAAACCGGCGCTTGCGTGCCGCGCAAATAAATTAAACAGTCGCGGTAATAATTGTACCGGGATCGATTGGGAAGACGCCCCGAAAGTTGTGGGAGAAGCCAGGAGAAGCGGAGCTTACGTGACCGTCGCAGGGCCAAGAAGCTCGACGTCACAAGAAACGCGTCAGCGATTGGTCGAAACGAGAGCCGTGCTCTCGGTCACGTTTTGGTTCGTGATTTTAGGAATACTATTCTAATTTCCACTTGAATAACCATAAAAAGTATAAATCGGCCTGGAAATCATTACTAAACCGTAAATAAAACAGGATAATTGTGTTTCTCTTTGCTACGCTGGACGCGAAACGGGCAACGAGTTATTCGTATACTTTGGTGCTTTTGAAGCGCCGTAGGAGTATTTTTCGTGCGTTTAAGTTTGTTTTTGTCGCTATCGGACTCGTTCACCGCGGCCGCGTTGTTCCCTCGGCTCCATGCAGCGCTCCGTGTCACGCGCCGTGCCCACGACGGTAGCTCTTGCAAGAACTGATTTTTCTACTTTGGAGCTTCTGTAGCACGGTGTGATTACTCTTTGTTTTGTTTTGCTAGTTTCTTTATTGCTTTTCTCTAGCGGATTTTCTGCACTATGGCCGTGTAACCGTGTTGTTCCATCGCCTGTGTCGTACATACGTCGTGCCTTCGGTGTTCGTTCCTGTGCAGAAACATACCGTGCGGCTCACAGGGTGCGCAGCTTATGAAAAATGCGCTGCATTTTTCATTAGCCCAAGCGATTTAAAAACCGCATGTAAGCGATTTGGCGAGCAGCGAGACAAGCGACGGCAACCCGCTTCGCTGCCGCTTTGCTGCCGCTCGGTCACTCGTGCGACGAGGCAAACATGAAAGCGACGGGAGCACACGACCAAGGCGATGAGCGCTAAGTTTTCTAGAAATCCCAAAACCGAGCTACGTGACGAGCGACAGTGAAGGGTGAACCGTATCTAAGCAATTTAGTGAGCGACGGAGACAGCAGTCGGCGACGAGGAATTCTCACGGTCAGTCGTCGCATCGCTCGGTTTTTGGATTTCTAGAAAACGCCGCTAATCGCCTTATCGCTTGCTCCCGTCGTTTTCATGCAGTTTGCCTCGTTGCGCGAGTGACCGAGTGACAGCGAAGCAAGTCGTCGTTGCTTGTCTCGTCTTTGTCGCCGTCGCTCGTCTCGTCCCGTCGCTCGCTAAATTGCTTACATGCGGTTCAACCTTTACACACGGTACTCGGCGGCAACAAGGAAACTAAAACGGCCCGTTCTTAAGATAAACCTGTTTCTCTCTTTTGTTCAAAGAAGCTTCTTCAATTATATGAAATTAGCACACACTACCAACGTACGACCGCGTACCCAAGCCGGTCAAAGCGCGACCTCGAAGATGGCGGATCGACGGTGGCGCTCCCTGGCAAAATTGAACCTGCAGGCTCAGTGAATACCACCTATTGTCCCCTTGGTATGTGTGGGTTACATGCACCTGGTGCACAGCAAGAATTCCGTTCAAGTAAGTTTCTTGTTTTCGGTTCGAGTTTATGTGTCTTGCTTTCCAGTTGGTCTTGGGACATGGTGCTTACAATTTCTAACTTCGCAGTTGGGGAACTTTCGGTTGAATATTAGCGACAGAGAGCACAGACGTGCGATTGGCACTTCAGAAAATGCCACCATCATGTGAAATAACGCGGGGTACACATTTTTCATGCTTTAAAAGAGAAGAATCGTCTTAAAGCTATTGCAGCTTGTTTTTTGTTTTTTTTAATAAAATTGCACAGCCTTGTTCAACTTATTAACTCAATCAGTTTCCCAAATATTTGTGAGAATAGGAAGAGAATAGTAATGCGTGACCAGATACTAAAAAAACTTGAGGAATTCAATGTTGAAAGTATATTTTCCAGACTGGAAAATTATTAGTGATTTTAGATTAGTGAACAAAGCAGAGCTCTATTTGTCCTCGATGCCGAGACATCCCTTCGACGCATTCACAGAGTCCTAAATTTGGGTTTTGAGAAAGCACCGTCTTAGCATCAACACTTCAATGAGTTCAGCCCACATAGGTGTTATTAATAGATATTATGGTTCAAATATTCATTCGGGAAATAAAGCTTAAAAAAGGCATTTTGCAAAAATTACATTTTCTTGACACCATGATTTTAAGACCCCTTTCAAGATGGCTTTCCCTACTCACCAGCTTGACATCATCTGTGGTGTCGCACGTGGTCAGGTCGTCAGGCTTGAAGAGCAGCTTCAGCATGTCATACTTGCGCTCCCCTGGGACAAAGTCCTGACAAGCCAGAGAGAACACAAGCCCTCTCACACAACCTGAGATACGGGCACACCAGCTCACTTCAATGATCACAATTTCTATCACCTTGTGCCTAAAACCTCAGCGTAAGAAAGAAAAAAAAAAGAAAGAAAGAAAGAGTACACTAATGTTTTGACGAACTCGAAACCTGTAATTTCTCAAGAGTTCCAGGTTCTGAGTAAGCAATGTAGGAAGTAATGTATGAATAGTCACTTTACAGTAAAACAGACTGCCATAGACGACCTAGCATTTTGCAGCGACTTATAGTTTATGCAAATTCTACAGTAATTTACGCACTATGATTAACGCAACATGAAAAATTTTAAGAAACAAAAAAGCCAAGGAACACGTGTCACAGTCTTGGTGCAATAAAGCAGTGCAAAAGCCCACAAAATTTATAAACAATAATGCACATAGAAGACTAAGGAGTGTCTGGCATGGAATGAATGGCTCAGTTCCAAAATACTGCTTAAACTAGAAGAACACTTTATTAGAGGGAGGGAAGGAAATTCGGGAGCTTGGGGAACAACTGAGGGAATGGAGGGGAACCCCTGTGTTCACAGAGAAACAGTTTGAGGACCTACAAATTTATCACATGACCTCTGCATTCAGCACTGTACCAAAGGTGCCCCAGGTCATAGACTTGCCACATTTTCGAAGCATGTCTGGGAGGAAAGATAACCATATTTTTCTCACTGCAAAAGTAGACCATGGGTCACCGAGCGCTGAGCCCTCCGCCCAAACGTAGCGCTAGCGGTCGGGACCAGGTACCAAAGTGTCAAAACTAACCATGGCACAATTCCAAAGAATATCAATTTTTTAAATTTTCGTTTACAAAATGGTAGACAATGAAAGCCCACAAATATATGCGGGTGAGGAATAGCATCTGCTACCAAAAAATTGGCCCCATTTTCTCATGAAACATTTCCGAAAATCGCTTATAACTTTTTAATCGGGTATCGGCAAGCTCCGAAACTTTAGCACCTGGTACAGACCACTAGCACTACAGTTGGGTGGAAACTGAGCATTTGATGATGCAGGGTTTCTTCTAGCAATGAGAAAAACTGGTATCTTTTCTCCCAGACACCCAGTAGTTTAAGCGAGGGACCCAGCAGTGGCCCCCACAATTAAGGAGTAAGGACTGACCCCAGGCAGGCTGAACTGGTCGGTGCGCATGATGCGCATGAGGACGATCTCCAGGCCCCGGCCTCCCACCAGGTGCACCTTGGCCCTCTGCCACCTACAGACACGGCACTCCTCAAACATGCAGCCCCAGTAATCTCTATCACTCTTCGCTGGACGTGGCACAAGAAATAACCCCTACAAAAGCTCAATTCCGACCGATACACTTCTGGCACGCTTCTTGGTCACGGGGCAGGAGGGAAGGGTGGGGCACCGAGCGCTTCATTTTTTCAAATGGTTGACGAGAATGGAATCGCCACAAAAACTGCAGTTCTAAAGGGCACGGCACCGGCCTTCGAGGCTGAACTTTGTCTTTTCAGTGCTCAAACCCAAAAATTATATTTAGGGGTTTTACGTGCACGACTGGAGAAACTCGAAACATGCTTCGCCTTCCTCGCAACAAGGTGGAGTGCGGCGGCAGCCATGACAGCCTCATGCGATGCTTGAGGCAGTTGGAGGAGGCTTTTTTAATGCCTGGCAAAAACGCCCGGCAAACTGATCTTCCGTCTTTTTTCATGTCTCAGTAAGCCTGGCTGATAAGCAAGGTTTGTTTCATTGAATATATATTTGTCATAAGTCCTCCACACAGTTCCTGCATACTTTTGAGGTTACTGTTAGTCCTTTTATGGCTCTCACGTTTTTATCGAATTACCGCTTTCATCGATTTTTTTTGCCGTCCCGTTGACTTTGTTATAACGAGGGATTACTGTATATACAACATATTTAAGTTATATTTACAACATAAATATACCTTAAATCAGACAATCCCAGAAAGATTGAGATTAGTCAAGCTTGTGAGCTCGACAAAATTGGGAATTGAATGAAACCAAATTTCCAAACGAATTAAAGCGAACCTACTGAGGCTCATGGTTTAATCTGTGAACCTCCAGTTAGCAAATGTCTATAAACCCTTTTACTGTTCACAAACATAAACTGCTGCTTGCATCCTAAATGACATCCAATCGTTCCATCTTCGCAAGCCTGTCGAGCTTGATACATATGTTACCAGTGCTGGAAAGCATAAATGCTACACGGACAACAAAGTTGGGGATGTAGCGAAGGCCTTCGGCCGTACGATTTAACGTCTTAGAGGATACAAGTTGGTTCACAAGAATATTCGAAAAAATTTCAACAGATCTCGTGCTTCTTGGGTTTTTTTCGCATTCACCTAGAGAATTGGTGGTTAAATGTTTCAATGAGGCTTCAAGCAGCAATGTTAAGGTAAGCTTTGTTCATTATTTTTGGGATCCGGAAGTTCACTGGGACGTCAAAGACTGGTGCACCACATGGTGGCATTTGCAAGGAAAAGAGTCTACAGCATCTCTAATGAGTACTACAACTTATTTCATCAGAGGATAAGTACTAGAACTTATTTCATCGGAGGAAATTTACACAACATTAAAACAAAAAAAGAGAGCAGTCTCCCAGTAAGAATGATGGAACAGCATTTATGCAGGTAAAAAAATAGTAATACTATAACAAAGTTATTTCGATTACCCTTTTTACTGTGCATAAAACTATGAAAGTTGATCTAAAGAATTCCAAAGAATATGAATGAAAAAAAAAAAGTTGCAAAAACTATTTAAAGTGATTCTCCAACAAGCACGAGTAGCTATGATTAACGCCATGCCCTGCCAAAACTTTTAAAGGCACACTGTGAGGCATATTAAATTTGCAAATGGTACTCATTTCTTGCAAGTGAAATATATCCTGGTGTGTTCAGACAAGATTTACCACGTGAGTCCCGTTTGCAATTTTGTTTTCCTTCATATTTTTATATGTTACTGCCCGATATGTGGAGGAAACGATATCACAAATGTTTTCTAAAAAAAAATGAATATCTCTAAAGAAAAAAAAAACCTGACTGCCCCAAGACGGAAAGCCATTTTCGGGCTTTGTTGGTTCTGTCAAGTTTGACTGCATGTAATAGGCAAACTAAAAATACCAAAAAAAAAAACTGAATATTTTTCAAGAAGCAGTGAATTATAGTTACTACATTGTTGAATATTTACAGAATTCTAGAAATTATATATCGTGTGTAAATAGGGTTACCAACCGTCCCGGATATTGCGGGACTGTCCCGACTTTTCCTAAAGTGTCCCGTGTCCCGTATCGTCCCTGTCGGGACAGCTATATGTCCCGCATTTGGTCCAGAAGGTCCAGTTAGTATTTATATGTGATTCAACGTACGCCGAACAATGCGCGCCACGCTGCGGAACACGAAGTTCGCACGAGCAATGCTGCTGTGCCTAGTGTCGGCTGCGAGGCTTTAGCCACTTTAGCATGAAAGAGCAATATGGCAAGCCGTAAATCGCGGCGGGCGCCTGTTGTCATCATCATTTGTACAAACCGCTTTGAATCTCCCTTCCCTTCCGTCGCGCTGGACCCTTAATCCCCCCCCCCCGTCCCAACTTCCTTCATTGAAGAGTTGGTAACCCTACGTGTAAAGAATCCACAAATTTGGCTGCTTTAATGTTTTGACCCCATTTTTGTGACTCATTATCTTGTTATGTGTTAAGAATATTAAACTAAAACTTTTTCGTATGTCCTTCATAAAGCTGTCTCTTATCAAAAAATAAATTGCTGCTCTAGTTTATACTTCAAATTATTTACAGCACTTCAAACATCCGAAATTGAAAAGTTTTGCAACTGCAATGTGCAATAAAAAGAAAAATCTTCGATCTTTTTAAAGTTTGGGGGAATCACTGTCTTTTACATTCTTGTAATATTCCATTAAAAACATGTTGCATAATTTTGCCACTGTCAAAAGTACAGCGCTTCAAAATGTACCTCCCCACGTAGACATTTTTGCTCAAGGCCACGGCCGCAGTGGCCGCCTTCAGATTTTTAAATGCGAAAGCATTAACTGGTCCCATGGAGTGAGCCAACGTCATCAGTTTGAAGCGCGCCAAACGGCACCTTAAATCGTTTCTCCAAGTGAAGCCAGTTCCCAGCTATGAATCCACGCGAAAAGCCTAGATAGACAACGGCACCTAGTTTCCCCGATTCCAAAGCAGCGGAGTAAAGCTGATGGATTTCGGCTTCGATCCCATTGGCTGGCGCACGTCGACAAGGCTCCCATTGGCCGCTGTGCGTCATTTTCAACAACCGCCACCCCATGGCGCTGCGTGTCCGCGAGGCAGCAACTCCACGCCCAAGGTCAGCGCGCGCGCTCAACCGTCGACGCAAGTACGAAGCAGACGACAGAAGGGAACCGAAGAGCGGCGTGCACGCTTTCGCATTCACAACTCATAAGAAGTGCTTAAGTGCACCTCAAACTTTTTTTTTTTTTTAGAACTTATCACAATGTTCTATTTTTTACAGCTGCACACGTCTGAATTATACATCTGGACCGTTATAAATACATTTATAAACTGCACGTAGCTCAAGACAGCAGTTCGAAGCATCAAAGATGCAAACTGTAACAAGCGCGCCAATCGTGCCTAGTTGTTGCATAGGCCACTGCACGGTCGCACAAACTGAAACACAACCCCTCGCACGAGACACAAGGCTCGATAAAGAGAAAACAACATATATAACCAAGAAGCTCCCAACGCGAAACAAACAAAAAGAAAAAAAAATCTTGCTTTAGGACTTCGTTTGTCTAAGTAAACTGATGTTGCTGGAAGAGCCGGGCTGGTAGGGATTTTATTTATTTTTACATATACAAATATTTGCGCTTAATGCTCAAGGGAAACTCCCCTGACCAACAAACCACCAGACCTACATGAGCCAACGAAGGGAATCAATAACATAAGTTTACGATAATTGATGTAGATTATGAATGCACGGCGGAGTTAAACAAGGCGAAGAAAGGGGGAACATAGGTTTGCGTACCCTGAGTGTAGGAACAAATCTCAAGAAGAGATAACATAAAGGACTGACAGACAAAATTTACAACTAGCAACAACGTTTACTACTTCATGAGTTTGTATATATGCATGTGAAATCAAAAGAATCAATCCGTGATGAGTGGTGTTGTCCATCCTTCTAGCTTCCTCGTCGCCAATTTCACATACTCCGGGTATATGCGTTGATTTAATCCGTAACAAAAGGGTGCAGCGAGGTGCACGCTGCTGCATTGTAGGTTGCGAGAGTCCCAAGGCCCTGGTAACAGTCGTTCTCTGTGAACGAAATTTGATGCGTACGAGTGGGGCCGAGGGGCCTCGGTAGTCGGCGGTTGGACATCGTACGAGAGTCCTTATACGCGTAGTTTCGGTATATACCTCAGCGCGCTGCCGGATACTAGCATTGTATATCATAACCGCTGCTTGAACATGTTGAGTGCCAATGTATTTTTATTCATCTTATAACAATGACGGAAGACGCACCAAGACACAGCCGGGACGAGCGAACAAGCCAAGGTGTCAGCGAAGCTATTTATTAAAACAGTTGACTAAAAAGGTAGTCAAAGTGCTGACCCTCAATCCCACCAAGGTGTTATGTTCAGTTCTTACGTTTACTGCACAAACCAAGGTGTTGTACATTGTTTCGTGCTGGGGATTTGTGTTTAAGTTTGTGCGATCATGCAGTAGCCTATGCAACAATTAAGCACGAAGGGCGGGCTCATCTTAGTTCGCATCTTCGATGCTATGAACTGCTGTCCTGAGCTATGTGCATTTCATGGATGTATTTAGAGCAGTCCAGATGTATAATTCGTACTTGTGCACCAGTAAAAAATAAAAAAATTGTAAAATTTCTAAACAAAAAAAAATTGGAAGGCGGCCACTGCGGTCGTGGCCTTGGGCAAAAATGTCCATGTGGGGAGGTACATTTCAAAGTGCTGTACTTTTGGTGGAGACAAGATGATGCAACATGTTTTTAATAAAATATTGCGAAGGTTTAAAGGAGAGTGATTCATAAAAAATTTTAGAAAATATTGAAGTTTTTTTTTTAATTGCACACTGAAGTGGCAAAACTTTTCAATTCCGGTATATCTTTGAAGCGCTGTAAAAAATTAGAAGTACAAACTAGAGCAGCAATTAATTTTTCGATAAGAGACACTTTTATGAAGAATATATTAAAAAAGTTTCAGTTTAATATCTTTAACACATAACGACGTAATGAGTCACAAAAATGGGTTCAAAATGTTAAAGCAGCCAAATTTGTGAATTTTTTACGTGCAATAATTTCCAGAATTTTGTAAACATTCAAGAATATAGTAAAACTATAATTCACTGCTTCTTAAAAATATTCAGTTTTTTGGTATTTTTAGTTTGCCTACCACATGCAGTCAAACTTGACAGAACCGACAAAGCCCAAAAAGAGCGTTGCCGTCTTAGGGCAGTCATGTTTTTTTTTTCTTTAGAGATTTGTTTTTTTTAGAAAACATTTCTGACTTAGCTGTTTCTACATATTGGGGAGGCAAACTCCCCTGACCAACAAACCACCAGACCCACACGAGTCCACGAAGAGACTAAATAACATAAGTTGACGATAATCTATGTAGATTATCGAGTTGACAAGACAAGGAAAGGGGGGGCGTATAGGTTTGTGCACCCTGAATGCAGGAACACATTTGAGGAAGGGATAACATGAAGGACACACAGACAAAACTTATAACATATAAAAATATGAAAAAAAAACTTTCAGCCTTTCCACTCTGGTGAAAGAGGAAGACCAGCGAAGCTGTACTAATGGCCTATTCTTTATCTGGGGCACACCGCACCCATCCAGTGCAGAAAACTCTTTCCACTGTAGTACACGAAAGACTGGCAGGGAGAGAAGGAAGCTCCCCTCTCCTCTCTAGCCTTCCGTGTAGCACGAACCGCACTGCACCGGTGCGATGTGGGCCCAGACGAATTGGCCATAAGATGGGACGACCTCATGGACGACTTCTTGCATGACCTCAAGGATGATGCCTAGAGGACGACGTCTAGGACGATTTCAAGGACGATGTCTAAGACGACCTCAAGGGCAACTTCTAGGACGACCTCAGGGACGATGTCTAGGATGACCTCAAGGACGACTTCTAGGATGACCTTAAGGACAACTTCTAGGATGACCTCAAGGACAACATCTAGGACTACCTCAAAAATGACTTCTAAGACAACTTCTAGGATGACCTCAAGGACAACTTCTAGGACAACCTCGAGGACGACATCTAGGACGAAGCCTAGAGAAATTCAGCCTTTCCACTCTGGTGAAAACCAAAGTGGAAAGGCTGAACACAAAACTCTGGACAGCTACCGCCACCTATGAGCGACGGCGGCAACCTTTCCAGCCTTTCCACTCTGGTCACCAGAGTGGAAAGGCTGGAAAGGTTGCCGGTGAGCGAGGCCGGTAAGCCGGTTGTCTGGTTGCCGCTGTCGCTCATATATGGCGGTAGCTGTCCAGAGTTTTGTGTCGACATTTCTTTGCAGGGAACACGATTTTGGGGAAACTAGCCCTTAACAGCTCCGCTGTAAAAAAATGTGAACCGGACTTGCGTGTTTGATCTTATCTGAACACACCCATAATTCACTAACGTTTATAGCCCAGGGTCAGAGTTAGGGGGGCTGGACAGCAAACATCCGACCAAGGACGTTCGTTGCATGGAATATGTATTCTTAAAATGGGACAGACAAACCTGGGGCTAATCCATCGTCATGCGCTGCTTGAAGCGAGCCTTCCATAACCGCAAAAGTAAATGATTCACCAAAAGGCTTTAAAGAGCAAGAGCGGATCACCTGGTGATGATGAAGAGCACGTAGTGGTTGGGTCCCCATCGGGGCAAGGCCCCACGTCCCCGGAGCCCGGTGCGTCCCACGGGGTTCCTGGAAGAAGAGTCGCATCCTCACCAGGAGCCCATTTGGCCCACCGTAACAGCAAGAGCGAGAATTACTTTGGCTCTCACGAAGTGAGCTAACATATCCCTAAAAGACGGTTTGTCTGCTAACATGAGCGAAGAACGTAGTTTGTGACAAAATGTTGTTTGCATACAAAAATAAAGCACGACGACACAGAACAGTAAAAGCTACGACAGTCAGTGCTACGAACTGACTGTCGTAGCGAAGTTATGTCGGACGCACACTTAAATTTTTAACGTCTATTTCACAAAGGAAGTGATCGACAACACGTGCTTGCTTTGTGAATTTCAAGTCATCTTGCTTCCTACACATGTTGAAATTCGCCGGTCAATAACAAAGTGCTTGGGACAAGCACATTATAAGGCAGCAAGACCGCTCTCACCATTCATGAGGATGCGAGACGTTTTTGCCAAAGTACTGCCCCATTGTGGACTTAGGAACAGGTAAAAATGACCGCATCTCCACGTGGTGAATGATGTTGATTGGGGCGAAGCTCGGGTGGTGCTGATGATACTGATTTTATTGTTCATAGGTATAGTGCTGATAGTGCTGATTTTTTTTTATTGCTCATAGGTAGTGCTGAGTTCCGGGTTGCGTTTCGACTTCATTATTACTGCTTTATGGTCGGTGAAATGCAGAGCCAGTGGTTCTCCTAGCGGATCAGTTTGGAACCGCTACAAGCCGTGGGAACGCATCTCTACCGCTTAAGTCAACAGTCCATGCCAGAAAGAGAATGTGTGGTATGGAACATGGTTATATACGCATTTGAGCATTTGACCGCAGCGCCCTCTCGTCTACAAACAATTAGCCAATGTATGCAAAGTTTAACGCGATTATATACGCATTTGACCCCAGCGCCCTCTCCTGTATAGACGTTGAGCGGCTACATGCAACCTTTCATCCATGACATCCCCAGCTCTTGGGTTACTACCACATCTCAGAGCCCCCTACTCATCCCGCAGTCGTGGCCGAGTGGTTAAGGCAATGGACTAGAAATTCATTGGGGTCTCCCCGCACAGGTTCGAATCCTGTCGACTGCGCAAATATTTTTTCTTTTTTTAAGACAGATGGGGTGGCAATCGATGTGAGCACGGACGCCGGACGGACAAGGCTAGACCCTAAGGAGCTTCGCCCTAAAAAAATTTCATTGGTTGTTAACTTTTTCCTGACTAGCATGGGGAAGATGCCTGTTTTGTGTGGCATTTTGTTAAATTTTTTTTCCTGAAGGAACGACTACCGTAAAATACCGGGCAAGCGCCCACTTAAGGGGAGACGCGGGTCTTAAAATTTAAAAAAAATTGCGAAAAATGTTATTTTTCATAATTCACAATTTTGAGGTCTATATACAGGGTGAAACAAGGAGATGCCAGGCTCTTTAAATCAACCGGAAAATTCGGTTTCTTAACCTATCGCGCTACGACTTTGTGTAGCGTTGCCCACAGATGGTGAATTTTTTTTGTAAAATTTGTAAAGAGCGAACTTATCTGAGGAAAAGGTAAAGAAAGAAAAAGGCTTAGCTCCTATGATAATGCAGCGACACCACCGGTCTTCAAACAACACGGCGCCGTTTCGCATGGGACGCAAGAGATGGCACAACGGACGCCACCAACGAACAAGCATACGGCGCCGAGAGCCAGTGTTTTTATCAGACAATCTTTTTGACTCAAAAGCGGCGCGCGTTCTGCAAACGGCGACAGTCGCAGAAACAAAAACAGGTGCGGTAACAACAAGCAACTGCAGTTCCTTGTCTGCTAAAAACGCCGGCTCTCGGCGTCGTCTGCTCGTTCATTGGTGGCAGTTGGCGTCGTGACCACTTGCGCCATCTCTTGTCTCCCGTGCGAAACGGCGCCGTGTTGTTTGAAGACCGGTGGCTTTGCTGCGTTTCCATAGGAGCTCAGCCTTTTTCCTTCTTTACTTAGTCGGTTCTCCAAAAAAATATTTTTGGAGAACCGACTTCCTCCCCAATGTGATTTTATCAACATTTCACTCATTCTTTACTTCGTTCATATTTTTTTTGCTAATGCTCCCATGAATGGATTACGTCATTTTTTATGTCAAGTTGTTCAGGAAGACTTACACTACACCTTGATGGCAATTATTGTTTATTATTCTTCACAAACATTTCTATGTTCAATGTCAAAACTTTAACTTTGATTTTCTCAACTTCGTGTTTTTTGTCAACATGCTTAGCCTGACGGGGGTTTTCATGAGGTTTTTATCGTAGCATTTTGGAAATTTTGATACCGTTTTATTCAGAAAGGCCTGGAATACGGAGTAAAGCTATCTTTTTACAGTCTAGAGTGCCAGAAAAAAATTATGATAAATAATGTTACCTCATTAATGTCATAATTGGCATAATTAGCCAATTTTTATATAAAATTGTAATTTTGTGAAAGTTTAAATAGCTTTATAATGCATGGCAGACCTTTAGCTATACATATACATTAATAAAAAAATATATATTTTGTTGGAAATGGCCTTAACGACCCGTAAGAAATTACCAAATTAGACAACAAAATTTTTTATAACTTGAAAAGTAATTGAGATATTTTAAAACTAATTTTATATTTGAATGGAGGAAGAAGAAACACATATGCACAGTGATTTTCATTAGAATAGCTGCAAAAATAAAATAGTCGATTTTAGAACCAGTGTCTCGCCTTAAACTTTGGAGATAATTGCAAAAGAATGGGGGTGGGCACTTGTTTGGTCATCAGATTTAAATTTAAATGTATTATGCGCGTTTCTCAGATCTTACAAATTTGGTAACGGGCACTTAATGGGGAATGGGGCGGATGCATGGGATTTTACGGTATGTTTACAATATGATGCCGCACAAAAAACGAACCTAAATAAATGGGCTTTTGAATGATGCAAAAATCAAAGCAGACTTAAATACTAATGCAATATTTAATTTGTCAAAAACACTTGTTTTCCAAAAAAAATGGGTCGAAACCCAGTAAAGATATGGCTACATCTCAAAAGCAAAAAGGGAAATTTTTTTTTTTTTTATATATACAACTTGTTTTTCATTTTCACAACAAAAAAGCCCTGTTTCCGCGGAGTCGCTAAAAACCCATGTCGTACCATTGGGCTAAGCACTTTCTCAATGTGATGAAGCACAGGTCGTGAAAACTGAAATATTTGGAACTGGTATTAAAGTCTAGAAAATTGACGAAGGATTCGCGAACATTGCCATGCTTGCGAGTACATGACGGACACGTGGAAGCCACCACGACTGCCACTTTCACACTTGGCTTGAAAATCGCTGCCACGCATAGGGAAGAAGAAAAACGCAGAAACCGAAACTGTGCTCTTCAGACTAGTAATTACGAGATGATGCAGCGAACTCGAGAGCTCCGAAAGGAGCTTTGAAATGGGCCTCTGTGCCCGTCGATCGCGGGTGAGGCTCTATGGGCATAAAGAGAAAAGAGTTTGCCCAGCCGGAAGCTGTGGCGTCCATCACCCATCTCTCTTGACTGATAGCCGAAAAACCTCTCACGGCCTCAGCATTAATGCAATAAAGCGATGCAGAGACCTGTAGGCCATGTAAGCTTGGCATATTGCTGCCCATCGATGGACGGCTCATTATCCAGGGTACTGTGGGGAATGCCTTGTTCGCTAGGAACCCGATTCAAAGGAAATGCACGTTCCACAAGGAAAACCTCCTATGGGACTAACAGGACTTTGTAGGAAGTCACTAGAGAGGCCTACGGGACCAGATCAGCACAAGTACAAGACTAACAAAAGAGGACTTAATAACCTTGGTCCTTTCTATAAATTCTAAATTATGCGGAATTCAGACTAATTGCCATATGTATGTTTATACAGCCTGAAGTTATCCTAAATGGACGTCTGGTGTGTCAGCTGTAGATGAGAAATTTAGCCAGTGTAGCACAACTGCTACCCTGGGGCCTTTAACGTGCACCACACAGTAGATACACAAACGTACGCCGATACGATGCTCATTCCGATCGGAACGGGCAGGGGTGGGAGTGAACCGTGGGTCCTGGTGTTCTGCAGTGCAAGCTTTCGCTCACATGCACCGAGCTGGTGTGAGTTAGCCCACTCGGCCACTTATCCCCCACAGGAATCCAGACTATGGGGCTGTTCTACAGTCAAACCTGTTCGGTGCATAAAACGCCTGGTTTCGTTCGAAACACCCTATGGGGCTGTTCTACAGTCAAACCTGTTCGGTGCATAAAACGCCTGGTTTCGTTCGAAACACCCAATAATTTGTTATAATAAAATCCGTTTATAAAAAGATTTTGCAATTTGTTCATTGTATGCAGAGGAACCTTAAAGGGGTTATGACACGCCAAAAATAAAATATGAGATAACTCTATGGCTAGGACTCATTGTATGTTCCTATATTGCTGCTAAATTTGTTTTGAAAATGGCGCAATAGTTTTGTGAAGAAATCGATTTATATGCAGGACCCTCGGAGGGGTGAATTCGGGCGGAGCGGGAGGCTGGCTACGTAGCCAGCCTCCCGCGTGCAAGGGGACACCACGCCTCCCACGTGGCGTCCCCTTGCAAACACTCACAGACTTGGCTCTCTTGGCATCACGAGCTTCAACTTCCTCCTTTACCTCCCGCGTTTCAAGCATGCGATCAGTGACGATTACGTCTATGGCATCGCTTGCCTTGTCAAAGTGTTCGACATTGATCGCAGCAGCGATGAGAGTGGTTGCTATCAATAGATGTTGGAAGCTGTTCATTTTGACTGTGACCCATTTTGACTGTGAACCTCACCAGATTGCAGAACAAAATGGCAAGTTGCAGGAGGCCTAGGGAAGCAAAGCTTACGATGCCGAGGCTCAGTTTGCAATGCATTGACCGCGTGAACGCCCAAATCCTGTCTCTTCCAAAATCACCGGTAAAAACAAAGTGGACTGGCTGGGAAGCGTCTCGGTTGTTAGATAATCTGTAACCTAATAGGGCGCTACAGCGCCAGGGCGTGACCAGAGCCATATATTGGGAGAGTCTGGCCAGTTAATAGTCTCGCCATCGTAACACTCCCCCTCCCCAGTGAGCCAATCAGCCTGTGGTACAGAGTGAGAAGCGTAAGTGCATGTGCGTAAACTCCTGACTGCTCGCAGCGGAGCGGGAAGGGCTTATTTTCATTCCTTCGCTTGGTGGAATGCATGAAATCGGCATCTAAATTTCAGCTATTTCCTTTTAATGCAAAAGCATTAACTGTCCCATGGAACGAGCCAACCTCATCAGCCGTGCCAAACAGCAGATAAATTCTTGAAGCCGTGATCTGAGGCATCCTAGCTTTGATACCACATAGAAAGCCACGAAAAACGGCAGTGTTTTGAAGCCACAGTGCGTCAGTCTCAATTAGCGCCCCCCCACAGTGCTGCATGTCCACGAGGCAACGGCTCCCCCGCTCCATGCCCAAGGTCAGCATGGCGAGGAGAGCGCACGTGCTCGATCGTTGATACGAGTATGCTGCAGATGAGATATGAAAGCAGAAAAAGGGCACGCATGTTTTAGCATTCACAACTCCTAAGAAGCGCTTAGAGGTACATCGAGCCTTCTATATCGCTGGCTCTGGCAAGAAAATTATATAATGTTATTCTTCGGTAGAAAGTAAACAAGTGAAGTTTTCTTGATGTCTGACCACAAACTTTAATTCAAGGGAAAGAGAAGTCGGCCCGTAGTAGACGACGCATGGCTTCAACAGTGTTCTGTACGGAAAGCGTGTTGCGTCAAAAAATGGTGGTTGTCTCCTCTTTGCTCCCTCCTTCCTCTCTCGGCTCTGGGTGTGACTAAGCGTAACTAAGTGGAGGCTTCATGCCGGACGAGGGGGAACCTCCGCCTGCATTGCAAAGAAGCCGAACGCCGGAACTGTCGAAGCTCGCGTGCTTGCCAATGGTCGTAGGTGCCGGAAATTCAGTATATCCATTGTGTAGTTTGTTATGCGAGATATGTTTTGCATCCATACTGATAAAACATTTTCGCGCGTTCTATATAGGGTCAATTCACTGTACCCGAGTTCATTGTAATCGGGTTTGACTGTTGAGTGATAGCCATGTCTTGGTAATATGGACGCCTCCATTCCCCAGAAAAATTGTCCATAGTGCAAGTTATCCGTAATAAAGATTCACGATCAAAACACATATATTAATCCAGTGTAGCAACAATGAGAGATGTGTGGTTTATTTAACTAAAAAAGGACAAGATGCGCGTTTAAACCGACACTTTCAAGCCTCCGCCACTTTCGGGCCTACTTTTGTGTCTGGAAAGTGCAACACATCTGCTACTTGAAGTGCGCATTCTCTTTGCCCTTTCTGCTCAAGGTAAACAGCCGTATACAAGCTGCACGATGAGTTACGATCGGTCTCTCGTCTTTTTCATCAGCTACTGTTGTCAGGGTAGAGTTTTCTTCGAGTTTCATATTTCTTACTTTTCTGCTCAACTGAAAAACTTAATTTTTCCATTGGGCAGAAAGCTTTGCTCAGCTACATTTGACACTCTTGACCGCTTCCGCTTCTCATTTGACATCGTCTACTCTGCCTTCCGAGTGACCAGAGAAGCGTCCAGCCTTGCGTTTTATGCCAATGACAGGCTTATACTTTCCGGTTTTAACCAAAAAGACACCAATAAACATGCACCAGTGTTGAAAATAAAAAAAGCGGTTAAAACCGAAAAATACTGGTTTTTGGATAATTTTGTACAAGCGGCAGTTTTTTACACCGATAAAGTCTCATGTAAATGCTCACAAGACTCGTCCTTTCTCTTTTTTTTTTAAAGGTAGTCGCTTTGGTATGGTTGTCAGCATAGGTCTACCAAGGTATCTTAGAATCGAGGGACCTTGGTACTACTTTGACCTTCCATTTACATCCCCAAAAGTTTGGCCTCATTGTGCTCTTCATAGATTGCCCCATTGAAGGTTGCCTTCCTTCTCTGTGGACCCTAGTTGGGCAGTTTGAAGTGTTTTTCATATTGTTTGGGTCGAAGCGTGTCATGGTGAGGGGGTGGCATCAATGTTTCTTTATACTTCGTTTCAGCTTAAGTCCAGACCCAGCCGGTGCTACGAGGAAATGGCACCAATCAAGCAGTGCCATGAAATACTTATAATTGGTTCAGTGATAAGGCACATACAAAAACATGACGAACACCCTGATAGTGCGCCTTGGAATGTATGTATGCATATATTACAATAATGAAGCTTGAAGAACATTGTCTGCCAGGTAAAAATAAAAGTTAAACCGTTTCTCGTCTTGATTGTTTTGTTTCTATTTGCAATTTCTCTCAGAAATCAATAAACACAGAAAAACATCTGACGATTTTGTACATATAAATAAACACCGGAAAATATACGGCCAACTTATGATCTAAGGGGGCTTTTGCGGTGAACCATTTGAAGGACAAGAATTCTCCCATCCTCCGTCATCACTTTATCCGGGAGATATTAACCTTCTAAGCCGAGAGCTCCTCTCCCATTCCCCAAACAGCGACGAGGTCTACAGTGAGGGGACCTAGCTGCTTTAGGGTTCATTTTTCTTTGTTTCTGGTTGTAAGTGATACACAATCTCAAGTAACAATAGACTGCAAGCGGTAATGACACCTTTTGCGTGAGAGAAAAAAATTCCACCTTTTAGCCCACAGGTCTTATCGCAAGACCAACAATGAATTTCCAGGTGCACACTATAACCACTTGGGTTCACTCATATCTCAAAAGCGTTTTTGGAGCTTTTTATTTTTTAGACTGGTGTACCGGCATCCATAATAATACATAAGAAGGAGACAAACATGCCTGTATTTACCGAATTCGTCCCCAAAATAGCTGCCTAGAGTGCGGATTGCGGGTTTCCATAGTAACGGGGAAGAAATGCACGGCAAAAGATTGGTCTCCGAAAATTTTGTTCATGATGCATACTAGCGGGGTCCATATTAACGAGACATGACTACGTATATATATATATATGTAATATTTTCTTGCTAAGTTTAGCGCACAATGATCATGTGACATTAACCCCCATGACCACGGCCCGCGACACCAAGTCATGTGATACCACGCCATAACTGTGACACCACGTGACTGAGTGTCACCAACAATGTGATTGTCATACACCCATGCTCTTTCGTAACGACTTTTCGGGGTGCTTCTGGACTGGGAAACCAGCCCAGAAAGGTAAAGAAAGGGCCTCACATGGGCACTCCGGTGGCATCCAGCTTGTAGACGACGGGACCGCCGTCCTGGTCCAGCATCCAGGACTGGCGGTTGATGCTCACGCCGGCCGGGTTGGTGAAGACGCAGTTCCATGAAAGCGAGGGCACCGGGCGGCTGGAACCGCCCATCTGGAGGCTGCACAGAAACGACACTCGGTCACTGATCAACGTTCAAGCTGGCCTTTGCGATGATGTTCTTACAAAACGAGAAAGACCCTTTCTGTCGAGTTAAGTTTCTTCTCTTTAATTTATATCAGATTGGAATATTATACTCAGTTCTATCCACATTTAGATATTAAAATTTACCTGGACATTCATCATCAAAACAGTGCCAGCCTATAACGCAAGTTTTGTTCGTAGCCCTTAAGCGAGATGCTGCAATGTCAGGTCGGCACATGGCATCGGTCGGGAATTTGGTTTGCGCCGTCCATCTAATAATTGGAGCATCTACTGACATGACGTCTTATGCCACTGTGTGATCGGCCAATCGCCGGATATGAGTTGCACCCTTGCACAATACACACGTTGCAGGTGCCTGCAATTCTGCTCCCTAGATGCTATGGCACAAACAATGCACGGTTCTACAGCACCGTTCGGGCCCAATTCAAACCCAACAAGTTGCCAAATGCTGCCAGCGTAGCACAAATGCAGAGTGTGCCAACATCACTGACACAACCGACAGTCTCTCCTGTGGCGGAAATGCACTTGACCCTTGATGTAACAAACTTTGGTTTAACAAAACCCCTGTTAAAACGAAGTCAATGGGACGGCAAAAAATGTCTATATACCGTAGAATACCGCGCATCCGCCCATTCCACATTAAGCACCCATATCCAAATTTTTAAGATCTGAGAAAATATGCACAGTACATTTATATGTAAAATTGATGACCGGACAAGCGCCCATCTCCCATTTTTTCGTTATTATCTCTATATTTTGAGTGGGCGCTTGCCCAGTATTTTGCAGTAAGTGGTAATTCGATAGAAGCGATACGGCAAGAAAAGCAGTGCCAGCAGCCTTGAGGATGGACGGGAACACTGCAAAACACTCCGACAGTGTATTTAATCAAATAAAGCTTGGTTATGAACATCTCACGGCAGCTTTACCGAGTAAAAAAAAAAAAGATTAAATGGAGTTTGCCTATAATTTCATCTGGACATCAGTTCTCCTCGAACTGCTCCAGGCATCGCAAGAACACTGTCACTGCCGCTGCAGTCAACCTTGTTTCGAAGCAGCCGTTGGATGTTTCGCATATCTGCAGTCGTCAATGTTTCCCGAGGTGCCTTTCCGACGTCGCTTTGTGCTCACCCTGGCCGCACGCAAGGTCTACGATTGCAACATCCGTGGCAGGAGTGACAAGCAAGAACGGATCAAAGTTATCCTCAATGGCTTTGCCAACATATTTTCACACACTCCTGTAGAGATCGTTGCAGCTATGGAAATCGTGCGCCAACTCGGCAAGCATGCTTGCGAGAGCAAATCCGACGCGCGCAAAGCAGCTGGCGATCTTCTATTTTCGGGTCGCGGGCACGTTTTTTCCTACATGAGAAACTTCTCGAACCCGTCCAATATGGCTTGCTTGTTCTGCAAATGGTGGACAGTGCTGAACAGCCGATACCGGAACGTTGAATCCTTCGGCGATTTTGGATTTGGGCTGGCCACTTTTCTCAACCTTGCAGATCTAAGCGACTTTCGGTAAATACTCCCAATCTTCCATACGATGCACATGTGCGTGTAATACGCTGCAGGCGCACGCGTCGGGGGCTCCCAAAGGGATGACCTCGTCCGGGCTCCATCGCTCCCTCGACCCGATTCCGACAGGAGTCGGGCAGCGTCGGCCGCGGGCGCCGTGATTAGCGTCATAGCGTCGATGCTGCTCCCGCTGCTCCCTGCCCGTGTCCCCGCATCGGCGCATCAGAAGCGGTGCTTCGCAAGCTTTGCGCGCTCTGCCCTCTGTCACCATTTTACTCCGTTTTCCCAGTTTGCCGCTTGCCTCGGTGGAGAGATGGGAGGGAACACAAGGGTCTCGGTGTGCCTCCGTGTAGGCTTGCATGCTTTTGGCACTGCGGCCTTCGTAATAAGCGTCGTTGGCCGCCAATACACTTTGAATAATCCGGCTAAAAATGCATGCATATCGTTCGGGACCACGTTGAACTTCGATGAAAGCAATAATTGGAAAAAAGTGATTTCGTTATAACGAGGGATTACTGTATGTTAATGTGAAACATTCTTTGGCTAGGTGTTTGGCATTTCGTGAAATCCAAAAGTGAAGCCTGGATAAAAGCGCGGCTGTCAGGCTTAACAATGATTGGTCGAGGGATGGGAGAGGAGTGAGGTACTCGATGCTGATTGGTTAACGGGGAGGTCATAGGACCAGAGAGGTAGGCAAAGAGGAGCGAGGTAGGCGAGGAGGAACTCAACCACCTGTGTGCACTGAGGGACACTGGCTTGAGAGTATGGAAGGCTCTGGAAGATTGCCAGATTTATCAGCCTGATTAGTGGTAGTATCGCTTCATTCTCGGAAGTATCAAGCAAAGTATCAAGCATACACATTTTATGCGTTAAACTACCATATCTGCTCGAGTAATATTTCTTATGAATAAGACCCTTGCATCTGCTTTCCTGTAGAACATAAGTACAGCCAATCATCGTATTCTGCATAAAAAATGCAGCGAATAACAATGTCAAGAACACGATTCTCCGTAAAAGTATGATCTGAGCAGATAGCATTTTCGCGTGAAGACGTTATCACTGTCCCGTAAATTGCTGCCGTTTTTTTGCCGATCGCGGTGATTCGCTATCCCCATGCTTTGTGGGAAAGGAAACCCAAAGGCTTTGTTCATAAACAGTGCGGTTATTACTCGAGCAAGAATAGTATCTGATGAAGAGCTCCGTGAAAGAAGGCATCTGGCATCTGGAAACCCTGAGTATCTCTGAACGTTTGTGATGCTAGAACATTTCACGTGTGCCAAACAATAGCCTAACAATTTGCCATAAATTTTTAGTCTCAATAAAACAAAGTCAACATTGCTGCAGTTTCAACATAACGAAGCACCAATGCCGTAGAATTGAAAAGATAAAGGCTCCAAGCTGATTCTGTAAAAAAATTATGATATTCGAGAAATTCTACCGTGAGTGCGGGTGCTCGAGGGATTACGTCCTGCGGACGCGCCTTCCCATGCGGTGAGACGAGCCTCACTGCCTGCACTGCCAGCACAGGCTAGAGAGCCTAGATCTGAGAGAGGGAGCACTTTGCCGACGCCTCCTGGGAAGATTGGACGTGAGTATGCATGCATCACGTTGTCGTGTGGCGAGGTGGGAAAACGGGCAGAGAGGGGGTGACGTTTGCAGACGATCAACAGTTGAAAACACTCTAAAATCTAGGCACACTAGCCCAGGAAGTTGCTGACAGTGCTATCTAGAAAAGATTACCAGGGAGACGCTCTCGCCGTCTGGCGAGTGTGGGTAATATGGTGCGGGGCAAAGGCACTAGACGGCACGGCCAGGCATGGCTGTAGGGTGCATGCAGTGTGGTTTCGCCAGTTCTGCCTGCTCTTTGTTCACTCGCGGTTCACTGGTTCACTCACGGGCTTCGCCACTATGAGAGGCTGTAAATCCAAAATCGTCTCGATTGAGGACAAAGCGAAAGTTTTCCAAGCGATCTCGGACGGTGTAAGAAAGACGTTGCGGCTTCTTTCGGAGTACCGCAGTTTACTTTCAACAATTCTGGAAGTGAAAGACTCGATCCTTGGCTCCCCAAAAGGTGGAACAAGCTGCCAACAGAAATGACTGAAACTTGAAAAGAACAAAGATGTGGACAAGGCAATCTTCTCTTGGTTTGTGCATTATCATCCAAGAATTGTTCCCCCGAGTGAAGCTGTCCGACAGCAGAAGGTCAAGGAAATCGGATGCCTACCTACGGTAAGTGCAACATGTTCCAGGCGACCAGTGGATGGCTCCACAGATTCAAAGGACATGCGATCGTCAGAAAGATGGCAAGTGGAAAGCTATGCCGGCCAATGTGCCCGAAGCTGCCGCTTGACACGAAAAGGAGCTGCCAGGGATCCCGATGCGCTTTGAGCCAGCGGACATTTATAACACGGACGAGCCTGGATTCTTCCACCAGATGCTCCCAAATTGAACACTGGCTTTCAAAGGAGACCGGCACAACAGGGGAAAGCGAAGCGAGCTGCAGCTCACAGTTCTGCCATGCGGAAATGTGGACGCAAGCGACAAGCAGCTGCCGCTCCTCAATGGGAAGAGCAAGAAACCGCAGTGCGTCGAAGGCCAAGGGGCCCTGGAAATAGAATACAAAGCCAACACAAAGGCACGGACGTCCCACGACATCTCCTGCGTTTGGCTTCAGGAGTTCAGCAAAAAGATGAAGAAGGGCGGTCAGAAAGTGTGTTTCTCGTTGCACAACTGTTCCACCGATCGCATTGAAGACCTGGAACTAACGAACGTGAAACTCAAGTTCATGCCACCAAACTGGAAGTCGTTGATCCAGCCACTCGACCAGGGCATTGTCAACAGTGTGAACTGCGCCCATCACGTAATGTTGACAGGAAAGCTTCTGCTTGATCTTCGTCTGAAGCGACCAATTAAGGCGAACGCCTTCCAGGCACCTGAAATGCTGTCTGCCGCCCTAAATGCCACAGCGAATGAAGTCACCAGAAACTGCTTCAGGAAAGCTGGGTTCGAGGAACCTACTGTCTCAACAGCCAGCGCTCCGGGGGAAGTGGACAGCGAGGAACAAAGCGAACAGTGAGGAACAAAGCGGAGAAGTGTCGTTGTCTGCTGCGTCTGTGTTCGAACATGAGGAGGGGGAAGAAAACAAAGATCTCTTAGGAGAGTGGTAGTGCCTCGAGAGTGACAGAGTTATCCCCAAAGGTGTAGCTCTCGAGGACTTCTTCTACAGGGACTTGAACATAGTTTCGACAGGAGAGATCACTGACGATTCTATTGTGAAGGACATGCTCGGGAACATGCAAGAGGAAAAGAATGATAGCGAGATTGGCGACGGAGATCCTCGCGAAGTCCCGAGCTCCAAAGAAGTGCTCAACGCGATTGATGTACTTCGGCGGTACACGAGTGCACAACAGCAAGATGAGGCCATGCAAGCACGGTGGAAGCTTGAACGCTGTGTGACGCCTATGTTAGTGGCCAACAAGGCACAAGCGAAGCTCACCGATTACTTTCATAGTGAATAAAGACAATTTTCGGTGGGTGCTTACACTGCAAAATGTTTCACAGTTATTTTTGTATGCCGGGAATTAAATTCCCATGCACAAAGTACAGTAATTCCTTGTTATAACGAAATTGCTTTTAGGGGCGAAGCTCCTTAGGGGCTAGCCATGTCCGTATGTCCGTCCGCCGTCAAGTGCACGTGCTCCCGTGCTCGTGTAGGGCAAAAAAAAAAAAAACAACCGCATCTCCACGTGGTGAATGATGTTGATTGGGGCGAAGCTCTGGTGGTGCTCGTCTGCGTAGACGGTGAGTCGCAGCATGCCGAGCCTTTCGTTCGTTTTTATCCATGTCAGAAAGAGAATGTGTGGTATGGAACGTGGTTATATACGCATTTGAGCATTTGACCGCAGCGTGACATGGATGAAAACGAACGAAAGGCTCGGCATGCTGCGGCTCAGCGTCTACGCAGACAAGCACCACCAGAGCTTCGCCCCAATGAACATCATTCACCACGTGGAGATGCGGTTGTTTTTTCTTCAAGCCCAAGCCCGGCCCGGGCCCGAGAAAATACGTGCTACCTCGCCCGAGGCTCGTCCGCTGGGTGGGCCGGGCTCAGGCTTTCGGGCTAACCCGGGCCCGTGCAGTGCTCTACCCTGAATGACGCGACTGTGATGAGAACACTGCTTGTCTTCTCTGGACTCCTGTCAGCCATTTTCAGGCTAATTCAGTTTTTGTTATATGTTTTTTCGGGGCCTACATACTTTCATAGACCACATCTGCTTTAAGGTACTACGCGCAAAATAACTCCAAATCTTTAGATGGTGCTGCAAAATAATAAAACTGCATAATACCATACACAGAACTGAGCTTCCATTGAAGTAGTTGAAGCGAGGGCACACAATGTCAGGAATGTAAAAGGTCGTTTACAAAATTCTCTGTGGTCAGAAAAAAAAATGGGCAAATACGCATAACTGACGTCTACCTCTCTAAGCAAAGTAATCGCGAAGTGAGTGAAGTATTTTTTGTAAGTAATGCATAACTGCAATGAATTACCTTTTGTGCACTAGTAACTTACGTAGCTTTAGAGCAATGTTGTTGTAATTATTACTTTTTGTGCGCTTTTTACTCGGTAAAGCAGCCACGAGATGTTCGTAACCAAGGTTTGTTTGATTAAATCTACAGTCAGAGTGTTGCATAGTGTTCTTGTGCACCTTCAAGGCTCCTGTCGCTGTTTTTTGGCTCCCTCGCTTTTATTGAATTACCCTTCTTGTCAAATTTTTCTGCTGTCCCGCTTACTTCGTTATAACAAGGGATTACTGTAAATTGCAGATTTTCGCGACTTTGTAATATAGAGGTTTAACAGTAGTAAAGCTTAGTCCGAATAATTAAAGGAGAAAAAGCAAAGATGCCCGATGCCCATGACAAAGCTTGCAACACTGTTTGTCATGCTTGTCGTCACCTGCTGAACAAGCAGCTACCGGCGACTCGCCGAGTGATGGACCTAGGCGACAAGTTTGATCAACAAATTTAACTTAGCTGAACTCTAATTTTACAGCGTGGTCTTCCAGGACGACGCTAAAGAGTGTTGCGTTTTGAATACCGAAAATTTGGCAAAGTTGCCCTTTGGGCCCTCCTCGTGGACCTACAGTTACAGCATGGTTTCAGGTGTGCTGGTTCCTGCTCGCTTTGACACCCCGGATTTTGTAAAAGCATGTTCATAAAATAATTATAGGCAAGAAACTTAGGTAGCATCCCATTGGAAACTAGTATCCAAAAGAAAACAGTGAGAGTGCATGCGAGGTGGTGGAACCTTAGCACGACATTCAACAACCTATCCTAAATAACGTGAAAGTTGATATATCTGTTTTTGTGCCACATGAACCATGATTTTGTACTTTTTCTAGCATTGCTTTGTACGTGTAATTATTTTTTACATATCATTTGTTTGCTTCAACTGTTGAACTTCCCCCTCTTGTACGCCCTTCAAGGTACTTGCGAGGTATGAATGAATTAAATGAAATGAGACTGTAGTAAGGAAACCAAAAACATTTAAAAATGGAAGAGAAAAGGCAGACAAAGTCTGACAATGTTCCAAACTCAGCTAATACATTCAAGAAAAGATGGAAACTGCCTTTTCAGTTGAAAAGGCGATTATCAGTTTATGACATCACCATAAAATACCGAGCATGCGCCCACGTCACAATAAGCACACACACACGCAACTTCTGAAATGTTGGAAAAATAAGTCCAGAACGCATCGAGAACCCCCTCAGGACTTCTGAAACCACCAAGCTAACCGAGATGCTCCCCTGCATCAGCTGCTCCTCCAAGCATGTCTGTGCATAGCAGAAAAGCTTGACTCATGCGCATTGATGCGAAGTTTGATGCACGTGCACTGGTGTGAAGCGATAAGCCAGATGCGTGCGTACCAGTGCAAAGCAGTGAAGCCCGACGCGTGGACACTGGTGCAAAGTGGTAAAGCCTCCCCTGTCAAGTGCCCCTGCTGCATTTTCACTCTCTGACCTAACAAATGCCCATTCGACAGTTTTTCGACGTTACCTCAGAATTTCGGGCGGGCACTCGTCGTGCTGTGTTTGAGGTGGCGGCAGATATGAAAATAGAAGATGTACACAAACAAACAAAGGAAAGGGGGGGGGGGGGCACCGCTAATCAAGCTCCCGAAATGGTGCAATTTGGGGCTGAGTGGGGGCGTCAACCCACCTGAGGAGGTCCTCATCGACATGTGGCTGCAGGTGGATAGGGAAGTCCTGCTTGGGTCGAGAGTAGGCCACGGGGTCGTACTCGAGCCACAGCACCTCCCAGGCGACGTACTTGTCTGGCACGGGAAAGCGAAGCACCCGGGTCCCAGGGTACGGGCTGTGCCGGGACAGGGGATGCACGTCCTCCGCCGCTGCTCCTGGACGGTATGCCGACACTCGGTGAGGGCAGGCTGCGCGGACTGCCTAGAGAGCCCTGCCTACACTTTTAAGCTGGTTCCGTGTAGGCTCCAGTTAAATTGATGCTCCACATATTCTTTCTCGAACGAGTCAAATTTCAGCAGAAATCACGGATTATATGTGAAATGCCAGTTTTCTTTGCATAATTTTTCATTTTTTTATCTGGAACATGTAGGAGCAGCGTAGACTGTCGTTCCACTGGCATGCTATTCCACTTACCCTGTTCAACACAAATGCCAATCTGGTCCAGTTAAAACTTCCAGAAGGTGCATCTTTTACATTTTTCTTTTCTAATTTTCAAATATCTAAAATACTGACCTGTACAAATTATGAAGTATTTACAATTATCTGAAACACTGCTCTGTATAAACTGCGAGATATGTGGAGCACAATTTCTCCTGGCTAAGCGAAACATATATATATATTTTTTTAATTACCAGTTATAAACGAAATTTAAGTGAAGCTAGGTTATGAGTGTAGGAAGCGCCCCCTAAAGGGGTACTCCATAGTTTTTTTTCATTGTCTCTGATTTGCTTGAAGTTTTGATAAACTCACCAAGAAACATCAGTAATATAGTATCCCAAATATTAGGTCAAAATATATTTTCTTTGCGAAGTTATTGAATTTACAGTGGTGGTCTTCACCGTTCTTTTCAAACTGAAAGTCTCTACTGGCAACAACGAAAAAGTGACGTCAGTGGAAGGCAGGGGTTCACTCTTTGGACTGTAGAATTTGTTTCCAACTGATTCGAAGCGCAGTTTCATGGTGTCAAATGAATGCTTTAGAAGCTTGCTCCAGTACCTGCGTTCCAGCAGGGAACAAATGATTGGCATATTCTATTTTTAGACTGCTTGCTCAACTGGCAAGCCTGCCTGCCACTGACGTCACGGCACTGGAAAGTGCGGATATATTTGAATGTGTGTTTTTGCCTCATTTTCATTTGCCGATTTCACAATCACTATTATGAATTTCGCAATACTGAATAGCATACCGAAAAGGGCAAAGGCCGGGGAGTCAGAAAATATAGTTAGTTGAGGTAGCTCAAAAAACCTGTGGAGTAACCCTTTAAGGACATATGGCCTGCTTAGAAAGCAGAGGGAGTGGAAGGCCCTGCACCAAGTCATACTGCACGTGTTGGCTGAAAATGGGTGTGGCAACTGTGGAACGGGCATTATTATGAGTCCTGAAACTTATCCCCTGAAGGTACCCTGGAGAATGCCTCGGTTCCAAGAAACCAGTTAGAAGTTAATGATTTATGGGAGGTTCCCAAGGTAGGGAAGATTTATGCAAGAATAAACCGACTTTGACCCGAGAAGGAGAGTAACTTGTGCCTTGTGACAACTGTTTGTTTCACTTAATGTGCGAGCAAAGTTGAAGCTACAAGCGTGAGCAGGTTGCCCTGAGTTATGATTGCAGTGCACGAGCATATCTTTGGAAAGGACACTAAAAGCCCAGAGCTTGACTCACACATAAAGCCAAACAAAGTATAGTTGCAGCACCCTACCAACTGGATAGCTAAATTGGTGGAGTGCTCCAGTAGTCTTGGAGAAGTCCCGGGAACGACGCCCGGAGCAGATGGATTTCTTCGAATGCACACCGGTCCCCTAGAGGGTGCAAGTAAGCTTTTAATCTCGTCCCATTTACGGTCTGGTTATAACCGGAACTTTCATACAGAGAAGTTCCACTTAACCAGGAGGAACTGCGTGCCACACTACTTTGTAGTTTATATGGGCGCTTTCATTTCAATTCAGGCATAGTTATAGGGTCCAATTCGTAATTTTTGACCGAAAAAACATACCGTATCTACTCGAGTATAACATGCACTATTTATGAAAAAAACTTGAGGGTTCGCTTTTCTGCGGAGCACGCGGATTGCCAATCACCGCGATCGACAGCATGATACCAGCTGTTTACAGGATAGAGATAACGTCTTCACGCAAAGATACCATCTGTGAAGGTTGCATTTGTATGGAGAGTCATGTTCTTGATCTAATTCGCTCTGCTATTTATGCGCAACGCGACGATTGGCTGTATATGTGCTTTGCAGGAAAGTAGACACAAGGGCTTTGTTTATAAATAGTGTAGGTTATACTTGAGTAAATACAGTATGTTCTAAGAGCATTCTTGAAATAAAAGACAGTTCAAACGGCAACCTCAGCAGATTTTTTGTTTTATATTTATTGACCACTAAAGTGGTTTCTGCCCACCAATCAAGGATTGCATGTGTGTTTGGAACCGGATGTGTAATGCTCTTTCTCAGCTGGAAGTCAATTTATTCCTGCGAGAACCTAGACTGAGGGCTCACGACACAGGGGATGGGCCAGGACACCAGGGACAGGACATGGGGGACGTGACGAAGGGGACGTGACACAGGGGAAGGGACACAGGAGATGGGATGGAGGGGACAGGACAGAAAGGACGGGACACAGGGGATGGGACACAGGGGACGGGACACGAAAAGGCAGTCTCTGGGGAGAATTTGGCAAAAGCGTCTCACCAGGGACGGTGGTCCTCAGGGAGTGGAGGCATGCCAAAGCTTTGTCTAGGGAGCGCTGCACCTCCTGCACCTGGCCTTGCAACTGGGAGAGACACTCTCGCTGCTCGTCCACCGCAGACACCAGCGACGAGGGGACGCTGCACCACGAGACCACGCAACAAATTATCCAGTTGACATTCTCGTGGCAATCTCAACAATTGAGGAGGAAAGCGTTTAGAGGCTTACTTTACCATGCGTGACCTAATCCAACATACTTATAATGGTGTATCTGCCTTTACCGTGCGAGCATACGGGTACCGGCAGCTTTGACTGCACTAACACAAACAGTTGCCTCAAAAAAACAAAAAAAAATGTTTCACCATACTTTTTCTTGGCTCGAGGCGAATTCAAAGCAAATGAAGTTATTGGCTTCGAATAATATGGAAGTAAATAGGTACCTTGCATAGTGGTGGCGCACAAAGAAAGGTTTAACGCATAAGCAAGGCATTTGTACAATCGTTACTTTGTGTGAAAACGCCGGTAGTGCGACACATTTGGTGAGAGGGCGTGCTTTTCTGCAGCTTGCAACGTCTTCTGCAGTCAAAAGTTGCGTGGCTCCTCCTTTAGGTCACTGCATCCGACGCGAGCGAGCAATCGAATTGTGGGTGCAGCAACAAGTCTGAACTGGCATTTTGGCTGTTGCAGGCTCACCTGGGAGCCTCTCCGCCGGCTGGCTGGGAAGCTTCCGTCTGGTTGGCATACTCCTGGGCAAGCTGCCTCCAGTAGCTGTGGTCCTCGTCAGACAGCCGCTGGGTCTTGCTCAGCTCCGCCCCCGGACACTGGTCGTCCCCATCCTGCCAATGTGAGCGGAGTTCTCTAAGCTACTCTTATGCTTCCTAGATCAGGGGTTCTCAAATTTCCCGTCTTGAACGGTCGAGAAACCCCTTCTGGTCTCGGCATCGACGCAATAAAGCTGCGGAGAAGCCTGCCGACAATGCAAACAATAGTGTATGTACTCGACAATGTTCGACTCAAAGTGATGCATCAGTGAGTGGGATAGATCTGCTGAAATTGTGCTTAGAGTGGAGAGACACCTCTCTCAGGGTGGGTACGGTTGAGAAAATCTGGGAGCTCGTGGAACCTTTTAGGGAACTCCGGGGGACACCCGAGTTCCTGGGAACCCAGACTGAGAACCCGTGCTCTAGGCTAACCCTTTAGATTCCCACGCGAGAGAACACTATCCCAGTAGATCCATTTCTGGTTCAGAGCTATGAGGGAAAGCAAGCTTTACAGATGCAGGATGTGTGCTCTCAACCTTGCTAACAGCATGGCAAAAAGACCACCCGCAAATAACAGTGTGGCTTTTCGAAACTTCTGGAGCAAAATGGTCACGGAAGGACATTTGCGCGAGAAAAGAGAGCGAGCAATCAAGCTGAGCACGAGCTGCAACGCCATGCTCGACCCGAAGAAAAAAGAAAGAGAGAGGCTACCGCTAAGACTGCTCGTGTTGCTGTGCCGTCTGCCTGCACTGCTTGCTTTCCTCCAGGGAAGAAAGGGAGAGCAAGCAGCACAGCGACGCATCGGTTCTTTGTACACATCATTAGATAGCATATGTAAACGCAATCAATTACATATAACGGATTACTTTGTAGCTTGAAAATTTGCAATAAAGATACATTTTTTTTATCATATTTCTGTATATTTATTTAAATTATAGCAAATGCCCCTACTATGTATCTGTCTGTTTAATTAACGAAAAAGAAATAAGTCCTGGCTCCCTCCCTTAGTGTTCAATGAGCTATTATGGCCACTACAAAAACTGTAAGTTTAACTAATTTTTCAGTTTAACAAATTAAACGTATGCAGTCCCACATGGCATAAATGACCGCCATTTCAAATGTTCTAATCTCACATAGATCATCACACTCACGTGGTGTGCGGGCTATGTGCACAAAATAAATGCAGTGGTATCAGTGGCAGCCACTGCATTTGCTGCCGTTGCTGCCACTGCATACTAAGCCACAACCTGAAGACGTCCAAACTCTCTTGGCTGTATTTCTTCCTCGATGTGCACTAAACCCAGTTGCCATGAAAGAGAAGTTTTGTCTCATTCGGGCTCCCACATAACTTCCTCCTGCCTTGTTCCTGAACAAAAAAAAATGAAAGCCGTTTACAACTCCCTGTAACGCCGAATTACAGTGCAGCTTTTGAGGGGAGGATGGAGGGGTACTGAGGTGAGGGTATACACCTCCTTCCTCCTCCTCCCCTCGTGATCCTGCCTGCTACTCCTCCTCCCCTCCTCCTCCACCTCCCTCCTACTCCTGTCCTCCTTGGGAGAGGTCACGTGACCACGGGGGGGGGGGGGGGGTCACGTGACCTCGCGGTGACGGCGACGGCGACGCCGCTCAAGACGGAAACGGGCCCCTAAGAGCTGCACTCTAAAAGAAACTGGGAAGCCAAAATAAAATTGACCGTTCCTTTGGCACTCCCCAAAGGCCTTCTAAATGAATAGCATTGAGAAAGCCCTTGCTCATGTCCGCTCAAAACCACAGCCTGTTGCACACATTACACACCGCACCGAACAAAATGTCCGCCACTGTGTAATAACAACTGGCTTCCTGTCGCTGCTGGGCATGGTTCTGCAGCTGCATCCCTTGCAGGAACCCTCTTCATCTTGCTGCACTTGTCGTCGTCAAAGCCCACGAGCAATGACCTTCCTAGTACACGTAGCCCACTTTGCTGTGGAGAGTCCCCGCTCCGAAAGCAGGGTGACTGCACGCTTTACCGGGGCTCCATCCCATGTTCAGACACAAAAAGTACTAAAAGCTGGCCTTATAAATGCTGCACATTTAAAAGGACGAAGCCACGTCCGTCTTCTAACCGTGCGGTGCTGCTTCCCACGACAGCGGCAGCAACAGTGTCGCAAGGCCCGCCCCAGCAGCTGGCAGAGGGACAGCAGGTAACTGAAGACATTCAGCGGCGGCGGCAGACACAACCTGTTCATGAAGTCCACCACCAGCTGGTAGCGCTGGAACTTCCAGATGTCATCCGAGACCGGCTCGATTTTGTGTGCCGTGTGGCTGCAGACGAGAGAGGCACCGGAAGCATGTGTCACCAGTCGCCTGCACAACTCTACGCCCCAAGTCAAATGTCCCCCGGCATGACAGGCAAGTGTACGGGTATTAGAAGGTGGACTCTAAACTACTTCCAAAGGCCTGATCCAACATGCTGAAGAAAGGGCATGGGTCAAAAGAAAGCAGTTTCCATATGGACAACCAAAACTACATTGTATAATCTCATTTCTCTTACGTTACGCTACGGCAGTGGTGCTTCAGAGCATGCTTCCGGTCTAGGGCTGAGGGCAAGAAAAAGTGAGCCAGGCATTGCTTTTACGTTTTGGCAGAAATGAGTAAGAGTAGCACAGGCTGGAGCTGCACTGAAAGAGTTAGGAAACATGCCAGGATCACTTTTGCATTTCCCAATTTATGCACTGCCTTTCAATGTTCAGACATTCCCGAACCTCTGAATTCTCAGGGATACTGCACTACCGGAAATACATTTTTGTAAATTTTCTGAATAGGTCACACATGACACAAAGTGTCTTTTCACCCCAAAAAAAAATGAAGGCGTGAAACATTGATGCCACGACACGCTATTTAAACAGAGTCTCAGATGCAGTGTATGGCTTATTCTCTAAGCAAGGATGCATAGAAGAGGTATGCAGTGGGCGTACCTCTCATCTGTGCTCCTTTCAGCAAACGGGAGGATCACAAAATGACGTCTATTTTTACGTCACTTCGAAGTTAGCTTAGAAATAAAAGCCAATTCTGAGCCAGCGCTCCAAACTAGAAATGTGCATTAGTTCATTTTTTAGGGGGGGGAAGTGCACCTTCTGACATAGCTTAAAATACCTAGTGCGAGCCCAGTTATAGTAAGCACTCAGCCACAATGCATACTTTTTAAGGGGGGACACTGGCTTGAGGTTGAACTTCTGAACTACTCATATGATTGGGATGAAATTTGCAGGGGAGATTGAACTTCAGATGTAGGTGTACTGAGCAAACTTTCAGCTCTCTAGGACAACTTTACGTACCAGCATAAGAAGATGTGTCACTCTTCGTTAAGAAATCTATATGTCAATGAAGCTATTAAGCATCATTTTAACTGCTTGAATATAAAGTGGAGGATGTGGGACTTCGGGCTATCTAGTTTTTATAAATTAAATGTAGATATTTCAGGAAGAGTGACTACCTCGAAATATGAGATGCATATCTGTCCTATGTCAATTTTTGAAAACACAGTCTTTTCTCAATGAGGACTTTAACATAAAACAAAATAAAGTAGGTAGCCCGATTCCCCAGTAAATTTCAGTTTAAAAACATCTTGATTGTGGTATCAGAATAATTTTACCTTCGAACAAAAGATTCCTTCGTATGAAATTTGCAGCAAAAAGCGGAACTGAGAAAAATGCATTCAAACATTGAACTCCTTTACTTTGTTACTGCCTCACAATGTGTTGAAAATATTTTATATCATTTGGCGCATGGTTATCAAATTTAGTGTAAGGGTGACCGAAGACCTCAAAATTGAAAACTAAATTTTTTCAAAAAATTTTCAAACTTAGGCCTATGTCCCCCCTTAAATGTTTAAAAAAATAAGCAGAGGGCATCTCAAGCAACCACTCTATAGTCGGTGACAGGTCAAGAACGAAGTGGAAGCTCCTCGCGCCCCTTTCCACATTAGTAGGGCGAACGCTGGAGGGGACGCGACCTCCTCTACACCGTTCGCTCTGCTGAAGTGCAAAGGGGTGGGAGGAGCTTCCACTTCATTCTTGACCTGTCACCGACTATAGAGTTCCAAGCCCATCTATACTCGCGGTCAACTTTCTGTGGCAATCTGAAGAGAGAAGGAAAGCGCGTCTACTGCGGTTGGCGCACCCCCTCTCCTAGCATTGGCTGCATTGCCACAGAAACCTGACCGCGAGTATGGCTAACCGAGAAACGACTGCTGCTCCTGTACCAGTCGTTTCTCCTAACATGCCGGTGCATAACAAAGAAGCTTGACGGGCTCACACCAGAACCAAGCGTTCAAGGCCATGTGCTTGCAGCGGTGCAAGGCGATGAAGCACACCCCAACATGTGCCCCTTCTACATTTTTGCTTTCAAATCTCACAGCTGTCCCATCCACCATTTTTTCATGATTATCCACAAATAACAAGTGGGCATTTGCATAGAATTTTACGGCAGATTCTGTTTTTCCTCTGGGTTGTAAGTCTGGGATGTGCGCTATATGCAAGGGAAGGTAATTGGGAAATATATGGCACTAGGGCTTAATGTTACAGCCCAACTGAGTCTAGGAGCAATGGTCTGAAGGCTCTTGCAGACAGAACAGCCCAGGGTTTGAACTCTAAAATCTGCATTCCAGAGGCCGAAACGAAATCTCAACACCATGGAGTCAGTCGGCCTCCAGGAGATTTCTTTAAATTATGAAATTCCTCTTTATGACAATTGTCTCAGCAATAGGTGCAAAAAAAAGCGTTAAAAAATGTTTAAGAACAGCAGCTGCCATATGGTTGGTCAGCTGTCAAGTTCACCTCACCTCTCGGTCCAGCTCTGCCATGACATTTTAGTGTAGGGTCTCTCAAAAAACAAAACAAAAGGAGAGGGGGATAGAAAAGGATGATGAGATCACACTTAAACGTCGCACGTCAACATGCCCCTCGCTCCAGCTGTGGTGCTCACAGCACAGGCAGTATTCCGCGACATCTGTATTGAAAGCGTTTCATGCTTTCAGCCTGCACGGTGTTTAAGAAAAGGCCGTGACTTTTCCAACACTCTCAGTAGAGCGGCTGTGGGGACCGACCTGAAGAGGGCGTAGAGCAGGGTGAGCAGGATGAGCTTGAGGAGCACCAGGTACTGGATGACAAAGATGTACGGCCACAGGCCCGGGTTGGGGCAGGCATGGTCGACGTCTGTCGGAAAACATAGGAAGGGCGGCTTCGGAAGGGGATCTTTCTGGGAGGCGGCAACCACTCACATTCGCTCACCCGGCACTCCTCCAGGGAACGGTTGGTGTACCGCAGCCGATGGCAGCGCGAATCTCCTGCACGATACGGGTTGCGTCGGTACCCAACTGTGCCGAAGGACACTTTCCACGGGTGGCCACCCAGGAGCAGGAACGCCAAAAGTGAAACCTTAACCCTGCCGGAGTTCTGTTTTGGTTACCACGAAAGCGAGATTGAGATCTAATTTGTCTCTTGCAAAGCAGGCTAAGATATTGTTTGCAGACGGTTTGCCTGCTAACGCCAGCAAACAACAAGGTGTGTCTGCTACAGGTGTCACTGGAGGAACCCTTCCCCTTCTCTGCATTAATGCTATAAAGTAGTGCAGAAGCCTAGACCTTGTAAACAATAATGCTTGTATTAGGAAGCATTTGGCACATAGTTATGCACCTAACAGGTGGCTCAGCTCTGAAAAAAAAATAGTGCTTAAACTATAAGAACGGAATTCACTTAGGGACAAGGGCCGCCGAGAAAATTTGGGAGCTTTAGGGAACCCCTGAGGGCAATTTGGGAAATACCTGGGTTTCTAGGGACCCAGTTTGACACTAGGGAATGGAAACACCCATTAGGGAAAAGGGGCACTCCCTAGAGAAGGAAAACAGAGCCCACCTTCCAGGTCCGAGATGGGGGTGAGGAAGAGGGAGAACCAGGCCCGGTGAAAGGTGCGCCTTAGCAGCTCCGCGTTGAACGGGTAGTCGGGGTACAACAGGGCATGGGCCACTATGCCCCCGCTGATGATCACCAGTAGGGCCATGCGCATGAAGTTGACAAAGTCCTCGGCCACCTGTCCCCCAGACACAGGCACGCAGAGTGCCCACTTAGCCTCCTCAAAAAGCGCAGCACACCATCAAAGGCAATGTTAAGTTCACTTGCAAGAAAACAATTTCCAAATTCGGAATTTGAAGTTCCCACACTATCCGCGCCAGTGCAATGACTTCAAATATTGAGCCGTCCTTCGAGTCGAGTTTCTCCGACGCCTCCGAATCGCCGCCGCCGCCGCAACCTAAAGTGTCATGCTCGACGGCGTCCTGCGAACAACAGGTTTCCTCTGTGCATCCCAGCTATTTCTGCGAGCAGGCGACGCTTGACTTTCGAGTTTGAAGTTCTCTTAGGGCCCTTTCAGTGATCTAGAATTCTTTGAAACATTGTGAGGTGAAAAGAACGCACAGTCGATTTTGGTGACCAATGTGAGGGGCACATCGCGCCGGTTCTGCGTGAAAGGCTGCTGCGGCGGAGTCACGACCAAAACTACGATACATAGACACCAAACCCAGATGTTTTAACCATTTGATGATTTCCTTTTCAAAGTCTGAGAGGTCGCCGGGCACCTAAAATGACCACTTCTTCCGATTCCCCGACTCACCGATCATCCTCTGCTATATGTGTCGAGCGCCGCCATGTTTTCTGAGGGAGGATGAAAAGCCAGGAGGCGACATCACACCGGACTAGGATTTTCGGCATTTCAAAAGAGGGCCGTAGTGCGTTCGCAATTGCGTTAAAAATATGCTTTACGAATGCCGGTTTTAATGTTATAGAAATGCCGCTAACAAAGCTTCTAGATGTCATAATATTTGACGTCACAAATCAAAAGAAGCGAGGAGGTGAGGAGAGGAGAGGAGAAAACAGCAGCAAAAATAAAAAGATGTGCACGCGAATGGAAAATGTTTTTTTTTTGTTTTTTTCTTTTGTGGTATTTTTTTGCATGTCCATGACTATAGCTTGCATTGTTTTAGACAACAAATAAAATACGACCTTTAGGATGTCAGTGCCCCTTTAAGAGCATTCACTGATGCCGGCAATCTTCTGGGTTGGCCAATAGGCTCAGAAATTTCGCTCACTATCATAGGTTGACATTCAATGGTTACAATTATAGATTTACCCTAAATTTTAGATAAGAGGTCCCCAAAAAATTTACCTCCTCTGAATAAATATGGTACACCTATCCCCTGCTGCAAAAGTACATGTGAAATAAACTGCTGTGTAAGAAGTAATTCCAGTCTCTTCCATAGGCTCGCAAAAACATTATGGACTGATATTATATTATCCGGGAAAGTCATACAATAAGGTTTAAGGCTGTAGCATTTTTAATCCCCGACCTACCAGGGCGTGACACACGGCCACTGGTGTGTGTAACAAGTATGTAGCGCCCCCCTCCAGTCCGCCCGTCTGAGGCCGCCAGGCTCGGCGGGCAACATTGTTCACCTCGCCCAATAAACGCCGCAGAGCGCATGCCGCTCCGGCCAGACAACGTCCACCCTCAACCAGGCTGCGTGTCGTATCTCCTCGGCGGGTGCTTCGGCCCCCTTCGTCCACGTTCGAGAAAGATTGTGACACTGGCGACGAGGAACCGTGGCACTGGAGGCCACAAACGTGCACGGTTCGGCCCACGCTGCCGAGAGGGTCGTAACACCGCACCCCGCTCCTGTCGCCATGCCGCTGTACGGGAGGCTCGAGCCGTTCGACGGAGATGGGTCCGCCTGGCCGGTCTACGAAGAACAGGTCCACGTGTTCTTCCGGGCGAACGACACGCGGGAGGCGAAACAACGGGACATCTTCCTGGCCAGCTGCGGGACCCGAGTCTTCAGCCTCCTGCTCGACCTCCTCAAGCCGGCCACGCCGCACGTCAAAACGCTGGGTGAGCTGCTCGCCACGTTGCGCTCGCACTTCAGCCCGGCGCCGTCCATGCTGATGGAGCGGTTCCGCTTCAACAACTGGAGCCGCCAGGACGGGGAGACCCTCGGGCAGTTCGTCGCTGCGCTACGAGGGTTAGCGAGCACCTGCGCCTTCGGCGACCAGTTGGACTCGCTACTCCGGGACCGGTTCGTCTGCGGCATCAACAACCCCGCCATGCAGAGGCGACTCCTGGAGCTCCCCGACCCCTCGCGGGACGACGCGGTGAAGGCAGCGCTGGCGATGGAAGCAGCAGCGAAGGACGCCAGCGAGATAGAGCGTGCGGCCGGCTCACCGTCGACGGAAGCGGCGGTAAACAAGATGGCGACAAGGAGCGGTGCCTGCAGCCGCTGCGGTGCTGCCCACTCCCCCTCACAGTGCCAGTTCGTCCAAGCACAATGCTTCACGTGCGGGAGAACTGGGCACCTCGCACGTGTCTGCCGAGGGGGGAGGACGAGCGGCGGCCAGCAGCAGCAGCAGCAGCAGCCTGGTTCAAGCCCGGGTTCCAGCCAAGCCCGCGGCCAGGGTGGTCGTCGCAAGAGAACGCGGCGGGGACGAGCGGCACCAGGCCCGGGTCCGTCTTCAGCCAGGGTCCACGTCGTGGCCGAGGACCCGCAGATTTTCGACGTGTGGCAGACGAGTAAGCCTCCATCGTCCGTGCCACCTTACTTGGTGTCTGTCAAAATCTGCGGCCACCCCATCACCATGGAGCTGGACACGGGGGCCAGCGTGTCGGTCATGCCCGGGAAGCTGTTCAAGCGGACCTTCCCCGGCGTGTCCATCGAGGCGTCTGACGTCATGCTGCGCAGCTACTCCGGGCAGCTTTCCCAGGTCCAGGGTCGGGCCCAAGTCAGCGTTCGCCTTGGCGACAGGGAGGCAATCCTTCCCCTTTACTTAACCAAGGGGTCGTCGCCGACGCTGCTGGGCCGGAACTGGATTCACTCGCTGGGTGTTCGGCTGCCGGAGTACCAAGAAGCTGCGCTGCACGTGGTGAAGGATGTCCCGAGCCTCCTGACCGACTTCCAGTCCCTGTTCCAGCCAGGGGTGGGCACCTTCGCCGGCACGACGGTCGGCATCCACGTTCCCGAGGGAGCCCGGCCTCGGTTCTTCAAGCCGCGTCCACTGCCGTTCGCCCTGAAGGAAGGGGTCACCCAGGAGCTGCAACGGCTGCAGCGAGAGGGAATCCTGGTGCCCGTCAAGTCTTCCGAGTGGGCCGCACCGATTGTGCCAGTCCTCAAGCAAGACGGCCGCGTCAGGATCTGCGGGGACTTCAAGGTCACCATCAACCCCGTCGCTACCGTCGAAAAGTACCCGCTACCTCGGGTAGAAGATCTCTGGTCGGCTCTGTCCGGGGGACAGAAGTTCTCCAAGCTCGACCTTCGAGATGCCTACCAGCAGCTGGTGCTCCAGGATGCCGCCCGGAAGTATGTCACCATTTCGACTACCATGGGACTCTTCCAGTACACGCGCCTACCGTTCGGCGTGGCCTCAGCCCCAGCCATCTTCCAGAGGGAGATGGACAACCTCTTCAGGGGCATGAGGCACGTGGCGGTGTACTTGGACGACATCCTGGTTACCGGTACCAACGACGGGGACCACCTGCAGAACCTGCGCAAGGTCCTGGCACGATTGCAGGACGCCGGTCTCAAGCTGAGGCTGGACAAGTGCGTGTTCCTGACCCCCAGCGTAGAGTACCTGGGACACATCATCTCCCAGGCTGGCCTGGCCCCGGCCCCCCGCAAGATTGAGGCCGTGCTCAAGGCGCCGAAGCCCAAGAGCAAGAAGGAGCTTCAGAGCTACCTCGGCCTCATCAACTTCTACAGGAGGTTCCTGCCCAACCTTTCGACGCATCTAGAGCCGCTGCATCGCCTGCTTCGTGACGGTCAGCAGTGGGCCTGGAAGGAGGAGCAGGACTTGGCCTTCCAGCACAGCAAGGAGCTGGTCGTTAAGGCTCCAGTGCTGGTGCACTTCGACCCGGCCAAGCCTGTAGTCCTCACCGTGGATGCGTCGCCGTATGGGGTAGGAGCCGTCCTGTCGCACCGGGGTCAGGATGGTCAGGGACGCCCTGTGGCGTTTGCTTCTCGTCGGCTTCATGCGGCAGAGCAACGCTACAGCCAGCTCGACAAGGAAGGCTTGGCCCTCATCTTCGGGGTCCAGCGCTTCCATCAGTACCTGTGGGGCCGGCAGTTCGAGGCAGTCACGGACCACAAGCCGCTGCTGGGGCTGCTGGGGCCTGACAAGGCGGTCCCAGTGCAAGCATCGCCTCGTGTGGTACGCTGGGCCTTGACGCTGGCAGCCTACAGGTACAAGCTGGTCTACCGCCCTGGGAAGGACCTGGGACCTGCCGACGCCCTGAGCCGCCTGCCCCTGCCGGAGGTGCCTGCTGCCGTCCCGGAGCCAGCTGATGTGTTCCTGCTGGAGCGGGCCTACCCGGGGGTGCTCACCAGGACTGCGGTGGCGCAGGCGACCAGCCGGGACCCGGTCCTGTCTCAGGTGGTCAAGGCGGTTGCCCGAGGGGAGGAGCTGCGTCACCAGGCGTTCAGCCACAAGACCGTCGAGCTGAGCTTGGAGCAAGGCTGCCTCCTGTGGGGTTCCAGGGTGGTGATTCCACAAAGTCTGCGGGCCAAGGTGCTGCAGTTGCTGCACGCGGGGCACCCTGGCATCGAAAAGACCAAGGTGGTGGCACGGTCGCACGTTTGGTGGCCTGGCCTGGACCAGGACATCGTGCACCAGGTGCAAAGCTGCCAGGTCTGCCAAGAGAACCAGCAAGCCTCGCGCCACGTGGAGATCACCCCCTGGCCGTTCCCACAGAGGCCGTGGTCCCGCCTGCACGTGGACTATGCGGGACCCTTCAAGGGCCACTACTTCCTGGTGGTAGTGGACGCCTTCTCCAAGTGGGTGGAGGCACTGCCAGTCACCAGTCCCTCGGCAAGCGCGACCATTGCGGCGCTGCGGCAAGTCTTCGCGGCGCAGGGGTTGCCGGACATTATTGTGTCCGACAATGGTCCCGCTTTCGCCAGCGCCGAGTATCTGGACTGGCTGCAGAGAAATGGAATCCGCCGGATGCTGGTTCCGCCGTACCACCCTGCGTCCAATGGTGCAGCTGAGCGGGTG